CCATCCACCCATCCACCCACACTTTTTTTACTGTACGCTAAACATATTTTATCGATATCGTAGCAATTTCACGCTCGGGTTTTAAAACTACTCATGATATAATAACACTAGACTAAAATTAGATCAACTTTATCCAGAACACTTCACATTATATTACATTTTTATATTTTGAAGTGCTGTTTTCCGACTGTTCGCTACGGGCGTTCACTGCGCCCAAGCTATTTTAAGGAATCTGTCATCAGTTGGCAGTCTGGAAGCATAATTATCGTTTGATAACATGGTGATACACTTAGAAAGAAGGCTGCGGTTTAAGAGCAAATACGATTAAGGTAAAAGGCCATTAGTTGTGAGAGGAACTAAAGAAAAAAACATATTGGCTGCTTGCCTAATGAGTAAAAAACAATTCCAGCGGAAAAAGGTGAAAATAGAAAAGATAAAAGCGAGAAAATAGAAAGGCATCATTCTTATAATCAGGGTTTTCCTTACTAGAGTTCAATTTCGGAACGGAATTTTAACTCCAAAAATAGGCTGTTGTTTTCCAAGCCAAACACGTGCACTGCTGTAAAACATCTTTGAGTACGAATAACTAATTTGTTCACAATTGAGCTTATCTGTGAGTTCGGTACGTAAGTTATAGCCTTTGAAGAAACAATTTGTATCCATATTCACGTATTTTCTCATGCGCAAATGTTAAATAAGATACTCAAGGAAATGACGGGTTGTCTGAAATAGGGAACACTATCTATGAAATCATTCTTTGAATCGTTCTTTTAACTTTATTGATATATCGTATGCGTAATAGGAAAAACAGAATTTACCACTGAAGGTAATGGCAAGAGAGGAAGGGCCTTTTTTGTGCAATTAAATGCGATTTATCGAGCCCAAAAACTTGGATCTATAAAACATAGAGCTATAGCATGTGGATGAGGTAAAAGCATGAGCTAAAACTATATTGATATAATTTGTACACCATCTCATCCTTTACACTAGTGCCCATTCACCATCCACTTAACTACCACTCCAAACTCATACCATACCATTCCAACCCACTCACCCACCCACTCACTCACTCACACACCAAACCTACACATATTCAGCATTGGTTTGGTATACAGAAATRAACAAACGAAGCCCTGATCAAAACTCAAAGTCGAAGGCTTAGACGCCAAATATTCTTGAAAGTAGGCGGGAAACATATGAAATCAAATACCATTATGTTTAAAATATCAAATAATAGGTTCATACGATGTTTTCGCGAGATCGAAGCTTTTACTTAATATATTCAGATTATCCTTACTGGCGGCCATGGATTTTWAAAAAATTTGGTCTAAAAAAGTGTCTAGATCCTGCATCGAGGTTGCGCCAAAAATATATGCGAGTAATCTTAACGACATCTCAATTTAAATCATCTCAAGATAAAATAGAAAAAGATTCCAGTCGTATTGCACAACTTTCGTCAATTATAACAGCCTACATCCTACCAATCACGTCTCACGAGATCGCTGTTCATAGAGTTAACGTCAAATCTTCAAAACATTTAGACAGGTCACGCGCACACTCTTGAAACTCGGTAAGCGCACTAGGTTCAAATGATGTACTTAATAATATTATTGCCAGGCAGCAGTGCAGTGTCGAGGACCTCAGTGGAATTACCTCATGGTATATGGTAAAATAATCGATGAGATTATTGGATAATTCGCGCCATAAATCTTGTAAAAGATTACAAGAGTAATCCAGTAGGCATGGTATCAATATTTTTCTTTTTTTAGCTAGTCAAATCGATCCGTGCCATAGTAGGTTCTTCTTGGTAACTTAGAGTGCAAGATTATGGTTCTCTTTGACTTAAATTTTTGCTGACAAGTCATTGGGTATATTTAAACACTTTTTTCCCCTGTCTTTTTGATAAAAGGAGAAAAATTGAAGGAGAGACAGAGCGCGTCACTTTCCCGCCTCGCCTCAGCCTTCCCTCTTTTCTTAGATTTTTTTCTCAAGAACATTATGAAGAGAAAAACCTCTCACTAACAGTAGAGTTCCATCTCCCTTCTTCTGAATTTCCAGATTTTTATTTTTTATTGTTATGATCAGTATTCAAAACAGTTCTCTCTATACCTTATTGGGCTCCCTGTGGTGACGTTTGTCAAGAGACTAAAAGCTAGCAGGTGAGTTAAGACTCGCCTTAATCTCTCTCTTCTGATTATTACCACAGGGATCCCATTATCATAGATATAGGAAAGGCAAAGAATGCACCAACAAATAATGTAAACTCACCATGTTAAGATCACTTGCAAACGTATTCAGTATTACATTTCAAATGGTCCAGTGAGGCAGCAGAAGTTCCTTCTCATTCCATGTAGTTCTTTGCTTAATTTATTACGAAGTCTGACAGTATAAAGACAAAATATGAAAAATAAGAGATTGCTTGTTTAGCAATTATTTCTTTAATATCAGAAGGTATTCTTTTTATTTAAACTATGACCAATTACAATAACAACATCGTGAAACAGGAGGAAAGATCCTCCTCCAGGGAGATAGACAGACAAGCAGACAGAAAGACTGATATAGACAAGATGGCTGGCAAAATGTAAACGATGTACGTACTAATAAACAGAAGGATGATAAACTGACAAAGAGTTGGACGTACGAGAAGGCTGATTGAAGGATAAAACTAAAGGAACGAACAGATAAGCAAATAAACAGACAGTCAGACGTGATGAACTAACAGCTGACCAACATTATTTACACATCACACATAATTTTATTTATTCATTAACCCTTGCGTCTAAACAGTTGGCATATTTTTTAAAAAAAAGTAAACACCAATCCCTCTTTTGCCTTTTTAGGTCTCATTAGATAGAGCAGGTTATGCATGGCAAGGAAAATGACAATTCATTCGTAACAGTCGCTGGACCTACGTTTTTATAAGTGTATGTTTATAGCTTTTTCTTTGCCATAGAGCGTTTTCACTCACGTGAGAAGGCAGCCATAAACGATAGAAACTTTCTGCACAGTATTTGCATAAAACTAGAGTTTGTTCAATTCCCGGAGGATAGAAAATAGATTTTTTTGGCACCCCATAATGGCCGCTGTGACGTCACGTGAAAACGCTCTATAGTAGGAATTTCTTTACGATCGGCAGCCGCCATTTTGGTGTCAGCGGCAAATTTAGGCCTCAGTAATACAGTCTTATTTTTTTATAAAGCAGTAGATGATGATAGAGTGACCACAATAAATCCGTGAAACTTGAGTAATACTAAATAGCACAATTTTATGCAAATTTTATTGTTTTCTATTGTTTAACTAGCACTATTYTGTACTATTTAGTAATTAGTGTTTCACGGATTTACTGTGGTCACTCTATGATAACGATGCTGATGATGACAATAATAATGATAATGATGATGATGATAAAGTTAATAACGCTGCTGCTGATGATGATGAAGATAATGATACGATAACGATGTTGATGATGACAATAATGATGATAATGATGATGATGATAGAAATAACGATGTTGATGATGACTGAATGATGAATGATAATGATGAAGATAATGATACGATAACGATGTTGATGATGACAATAATGATGATAATGATGATGATGATAGAAATAACGATGTTGATGATGACTGAATGATGAATGATAATGATGATGATAATAACGATGTTGTTGATGATGATGATAATGATGATGATGATAATAATGGTGGTGATCATGATCATGACAAGCGACAGGGGAATGGCGGAAAAGGTGCGTAAGTGAGACTGTAGATAAATTTATAATGGAAATAATAATACTGATATTAATAATAATAATAATAATACTAATAAAGGAAATAATAATACTGAAATGATAATACTGATATTTTGAAATCCCACGGACTTATAATGGCATTTGTGAAAAGAAGTTCTATAAAGATTTTTCACTCTTTTTACTTCATGTCAGGATTTGTTGACCAAAGTTTGAAATGTTTCAGGTGGAGATTAAATCATTGATAGCATTTTTCGCTTATATTTTATTGGTTTTTGTGAAGAGTTGGAAAAGGAAATGCGGCACAACTTTTAAAATAGTTCTAATCATGAAGTTTTGCTATCCACTCGAAACAACAAAGCCGTCACTTTCTTTCAAGACTATAGTCCCACGCAAGAAATTTTTGACCACATTTACATTAGACTGCGTTCATAATGTATGGCAGAGGGGGGGGATGTGTGCAGGTGAAATTAGGGGGTCGGTTTTACCGGTATCAAAATGGTGGGGGTTCGAAATTTTTTATCAGAGAATTGTGGTGAATGCTGTAACAAGAAGCTATAAGAGATTTCCCGGAGGGTTAGCAATTTTTAGGGGGACTTCTAGGGGGGTCTTTATCATTTTAAGATTTCACCTGCCCTCTCCCTCCCCCTCTTCCATACATTATAACCACAGCCTTAAAACGTCCAATATATTCAGATCTAATTTTTTGAAAGAGTCTACGCTTTTAATTGGTTTCCTATTTGATTGACAAAAACAAAAACCTTTGTTAACTTTAGGGCCACTGATGAAATTTGGCAGGTTCTCTCTGTACACAAACGCAAAAATCGCATTGTAAACTCCAGCTTTCCAGGTGGATTTTACTTATTCTTCCCGCGCTAAAAATTACGAATATTCTTTTCTCTAAAACCATCATCAAACCAGTCCAAAAACAATCAAGATTAAAGCAACTATAAACTGAGTAAGTACAAATCGAAAAATAATTGCGAAACTTGATAATTATCGCATGTTTTGACCGCCCAAATTTGGCGGCGTTTTTTTGGGAGCCAAGCAAGAGTGTGCCACATTAAAATCAACATTCCATATGCGTGCTTGAATTATTGCGGTTATTGAGAAGTTAATTTCGTTCTTGTTGCAATGTTCTTAACTTTTAGACTATAATTTTGAATTTTTAGCGCCTACTTTATAAAAGGATAATACTTTTTCTCGTGTGGTTTTTGCTTATCGAAGTTTTAATCAATTCTAACAGACTCGATTTGTTCAAGCTTAGTAACGGATTACTTTTATTTATCACGGCCGAAGCGATCTCTACCGAAAACAATTACTATCAGCTAATTTCTTTGACTTCTTTAAGCATTTTCTATTCTTTAAATTGTATCACCCTTGATCTTACTGGTATCGCGAAGAACTACAAGTTTGTTAATCTAGCTAGGTTTAAAATAAAACCTCTTAAATATGTAGCTAAAATTATATTCACCCATAAAAACGAATGTAAATCATAAGTCAATATCTCTTGTCTTTTTTCCTATTCATCATATAATTTTTATGGAATCAATTATATTTTAAGTCAAAGAATAAAAAAGCGATATATAATATCGTATTGAGGCTCGGAACTAAATTCGAATTTCAAAACGACTGTGGAATAGTTTGGTTTAAAAATTCCGCCCAAAAATCAATGTCAATCTCTAGAGATTAAAAAAAACTTCCTAAGGTTGATAAAAAAAAACTACACATATGCCAGGGTGTAAAATATTTTTCGCGTGCCATACACAAACAACATAAAATAAAAAAAATATATGAAGAAATAGGAATAGCAGTCACATTTCCGCATTGTGGCTCTTCATCCATTGAAATTCCATTTGGAATTTAGAAGTTCATTTTTGTGGAAGGAGGAAAACCAGAGAATCAGGGAAAAAACCCTCGAAGTACAGAAGAGAACCAACAAGCAACTCTACTCACAACGACACAATACTTGAAGTCATAATTATTAAGACGTCAAATTCAATACAATTTCTTTCTACAATTTAAAGATGCAGATTAGTAAAGTATATATCAAGAAAATAACGCAGCTGAAATTCTGACGTTTTGATTGTTCGAAAACAAATGATTAATTTTCCTCCATTTGGTTGGCATAGCAACTTTTTATTGAACATTCAAAATAGAATTTGAAAAGAAAGACACTGAAAAATCTTTTTTTTCTATTTTCGTAACTGTTATTTAACGAGAACTGTATATATTACATATACTATTAGCTAACGAATGTAAAATACAATTAAAATTAAATGAAAGAAACACCCAATTTTTTTTTCAAATGACTGAAAGAAAAAAAATGAATAGACATTTCAATCAGTTGTGAACTTAAAATAAAAACTAGACATAAGTATTCAGTTTTAATTTATATGCTAAACTATTTAATTTTCAATATTGTCAGTTATGATTATAAAAATTCTAAGGAAACATATTTTGAATCGAATCAAAATAGGGTGCCAGAGTTCTAATTTATCACAAGAATAATGGCTTCTATATTTTCATAAAAATTCCCTAGCTTGACATTCATTTCGATTTGAGAATTTTCATTGTCTATCATGTGACATTTTGATTTGAAAACGGCTGCCGACAGTTTGATAATAAATTGGTTCTCCATGCTGATTATATTTTGAGCAATTATAACTATTTTTTGGATGTAAAGGGGTAACGGACAGTACGAAAAAAATGATTACTTTTTTTATTTTTTCTCACGAGGAAAGAATTTTTAATCTTCAATTTTTATTGAAGCCTTGCGAAAAGGATTATGGTCGAAAGCACGTGTTATTGTGTCGCATCGGGACAGACTTCTGCCTTGGTAGATGACGACAGAAAAATTGAAAGAATTGAAACTAGAAGACAGCGCATTGAAATTCTGCACATATTTCCACAGCTGCTTGTCGTTGTCTCGGTTGCTGTTCTATTAGTTTATTTATGTCCTAAGTCATTTTTGAATCAGTCTATATCCTTAATAACAGCTTATTTCATACACCCTTCTCATAATGGCTGACAAGCGCACAAAAACGAGGTCACCCAGTCATCTTCCAAGGCTGAGCAAGGCTGCTCATTCAGAATAAAGGTGGATAGCACGAATACAGGTCAAAACAGGAGTTAAATTTCTATACTTTTCTCTTATAAACTCATTAATGTACTTTTAAATCTTGTATTGTGAACTAATGACTGGGTGACCTCGTTTTCGTGCATTTTTCAGCCATTATGAAAACGGTGTATTTTTAGCTTAAAATTAACGTTTCCATGATAGGATGTTTTGCATAATGGCGTCGTTGACCTCTACTACCAGACTACCTAGCACACTTTCTTTTGTTGAGTTAACTAATACCAATTGTCTTACTCTTCTCATGAAGAAATACAAATTTAAATAAGAAAGAAAATTCGCGAAGCATTTTAGTAGTGGGAGTCAAATGACGCCATTATAAAAACGTCCTATTATTCTTGTTATTAGTTTTCTCATCAATACTTCATGTCCAAAACGATTCATATAAAGAATTAATGAAATCCCACCCGCTAAAAGTTCTCAAATTGCATTTTTCTTATAATTATTTTACAGAAACCTTAAAACAGATGAGACAGATGTTTGACAGTAAGACATTTTGCCGTCAAATCTTTCAGTTCGCCAAAGGAACAGAAAACTTTCAATAGTCAATAGTCAACTGTCTCAACCGTTTGGGTTCACCGAGAGGAACTCCAACAGAGAAGCTTAGGTTTCAGCTCAGGTATACGCCCTACATTGACGCCCTACACGAAGCTGGGATCTGAAAAAAGTTGGCATAAGGTTATCGATGCTCTATCTTGCTAGCGTCCTCAGCAGCCACTGACTGGCGTACCCGAGGTACGTTCGGAAAAATATCTTCATAACTGATCTGCTTTCAAAAACGTTTGTGATTAGAGAATTTCTTGGATAAACATATGGAATCAATATTGAGAATTCAAATTTTTAAGTTCAGGAAAATAGGGCATATATCGCATTAGCATCGAAGATTTCAACCTTATCTGGTTTAGAGTGATTATTGCATTCTCCTGTACAAACAATTACCCATCAGAAGTTTAAAAACTGTAATTTGAATTCGTTCAAAACGTCAGTTCGTTGTCAGGATTGTCATTCAAAAGAAAAAAATTGAAGCTGCTAGGCGTATTAAATTCTGTTCAAGAAGCAGACTGACGAGAAAGCAACGAATGCATGAACACGTACAATTCATAAAACTGCTGAAAACAATAAGGTCACTAAGTTACGGATCGATCGAAGAAGACTTAAGGCAAGTTTTCTTACACAAAACGCTGGTCTTATCTGTTATTCGCCTTGAAAAGACTACTAAAGTTTACCAAGGATAAGAACCTGAGATTTAAAGCCGGGCTAGTGAAAATTGTGTTGGACTCAGGATTTCAAAGGAAGATTGCGTGTGAAAGAAGAAGATAGCTGAACGACACGTTATAACCAGTACGTCAGCAAGCCAAGCCTTTAAAGCAGTTTTAAGCGAGGTCACCCAAGAAAAATAAGCCAGATCTACTGGAGGTTGGCAGAGCAGTGAGCTAAGTTTCCAAATATAACCAACAAATGAACCCGTCCGGTATTTATATACGCTAAGACTTGTCCGACAGAAAACATCAAAGCTCTAAGACACTCAGGGTGAACGGCAATCAGTGCGCTTCATTAATCTAACAGAAAGATCTTGAATTAAGACTTGTCCGATTAAAAAAATCAAAGCTCTAAAAGACACCCTGAGTGATCAGTCATTGATCAAACAGAAAGATATTGAATTGTCAACCAATAGATTGACAACGACGTCATGGATTCCGAGTCAAAGACCATCGAAATAATTCGCTCAATCCAGCTAGCCATTATCGTGCCAGTTAACCTGATCGGTAACACGCTAGTCTGTATAGTACTGTACAGAACACCTCAATTACGAACACCTATGAACTACTTGCTAGTCAACCTGGCTATATCGGACATTATGGTCGCTTTTTTCATGACAGCCGACCAGCCCTTCTTCTATGGCTGGGAACACCCATCCGGCACTACCGGGGATTATTTATGTAAATTCATCACCGGGAAGTTATTCTCCTGGGTGGGGTCGGTAGCGTCGGTTTTTACATTAGTGGCGTTAGTATTTGAGCGGTATTACGCAATAGTATATCCGTTGCGCAGTAGAGCGCAGATCACGAGAAAGCAGTTTTACGCGATTATTATTTCATGTTGGACTTTCGCGTTCTGTTTTAACATTCCTCTGGTTGTTGTTCGTATATACAACACAAACGTGGCTGCCACGGGATATTTTTGTCGAAGCAACTGGTCAAGTGACGACATTGCCAAAGCTTATAACTTTATATGGTTGTTTTTTATTGGGATTCTTCCAATCACTGTTATGGGATTCCTGTATAGTCGTATTGCGCGCAGTTTATGGGGGACTGGTAATCGTGTCGGTCCCGAGCAATTTACATCTCAAGTGCGCTTCAAGGCAAGAAAACGCGTCACAAAGATGTTGATTACAATAACAATCCTTTACGCACTATGCTGGATGCCTAACCTACTCATTAATGTCATATCCTATTACTACACCCCTTCTGGGATATTCTCATACGGGTATCTTATAACAGAGGTCCTAGTGCTTCTCAACAGCAGTATAAACCCCTTTGTGTACGGAATACAGAGCCAACAGTTCAGGAACGGAGTGAAGGTCATCTTGTGCTGCAAGTGGTGTCCGAGAAGACAGAATGAAGCTCAGGGCAACGAGCAAAATAAGTTGGAGCTAGCCAATATGCGTAGCCCAAGAGCTTCCATGATAACAGCTGGGTTTGCTAACTAAAAAAAGCTTCCTAATGTTTCCATAGTAACATGAGTTTGTTAATTAAAAGTACTGCCCTAATGTCTCCGTGGTAATAACTTGCTTTTTCGCGGCGGTCAGCTGGACAATAGCTCCCAGTGGTGTGTGAGAACCGACTATTGCTAATAAAATGAACCTAATTATAATCATATACACTCCCCTAGTATTTCCATTGAAACAGCTTTATATTTTCCCTTATCAAATAAACCTATTTAATATTTTCATAGTAGCAATTAGGTTAGCCGTTCTTCTAACACTAGTTTTTAAGATACGTGTTTTTGAGAAATGAACTCAGTATAACGTTGTTGAACAGAAATACATTGTCGTATTGATGCATTTTAATAAATTAAAGGAATAATACTTTTTTGGTATCTCTAACACATGAGGGAAATAATATTCAACAACGCATTAAATATTCAACCGATATTATTTGAAATATTTATTCCTCAAAGATTTTGCATTTTCACATATTCTAGTTGTTTGTTACACTCCGATTTAGTTCCTTTTTTATATTTATTTTCTATATTTACTTCCTGGTCTGTGTTTGTTGCGAGAAAAAGAGATCGGAGCCTTCTTACCTCACAACATTCGCAGACGATCAACGCATGTTGTTCTTTTTGGATTTATGAGTTCAATTTATTTCTGTTTGTAACTGCTGCCCAGCTAGTGCGCACTCTCGTCTTTGTCTACTTGTCGCTTCCATTTTTGCCTATCCGAAGAAGAAATTAAGGAGAACTGGTGACGTATTAGTCGTATGGAACAGAATTCTGGGATTGAATTCCTGGAAGCAAACAAAGATTCGGCCATCTTGGATTTCCAGACTCCGATTTCTCGAATTTGCATTTTTTTATTTGTTTTGATGCTTTGCAATACGGAGTATGGTATAGAAATAAAACATTCTAACGTGTTGTCCGCTGTTATGTCATCTGATCTTCCGCTTGTGGGTTAATTACAGAACAAATTCTCTGCAAAGTGTAAACATTTACCACCGATAATTGTTAATCAACTCAAAAACGGATGTTTTTCTTCCTTAGACTTAAACAAATTAGGAATCACAGGTTTAATTGGTTAATGGCGAGCCAGAGCTAATGAATGTTTGATTGTCAAGCTGAAATGTCATCCTCCAATAATTGACATTTCCTTTAATTAATTGGTATCCCGACACTCATGTTTCATTATGCCTTGAATGATTCTATCATTCATTAGGCTCAGTTAAGGCTGATTTTGTTACATAACTTTGTACACATAAATGTTTTGAATGAATTTTGTTACGTAACTACATAAACTGTTTTGAACCAATGTTGTTATGTATCTTAAACAAATAGACATCAGTTTTTTATGTGTCTGTCCTCTTATTGACGATATTGCGTCATCAGATTGTCAAAGTAGTGTGGATCCACATATACTACTTTGACAACGTGATGACGAAATTTATCGTCAATAAGAGGACAGACACATAAAAAACTGATGTCTATTTGTCTTTTACAATAACAAAAACGATAAAAACTTCTCATTTTTAGCGGTCAAAACAAGCAACGGAAAGAGCGCGCGTTTGTTGACGTCTACTTTATCTGTCTGTCCTCTTATTTTTGTTAAAAAATAACCAATCAGCGCGCGAGAAATTTATCAGTTATTGTAAAAATACTGATAAACTGTTTAGAACCAATGTTGTTAAACCAAATTCTGGCTAAAACTCTATACAAGCAATCATCGGTAGATAAACAACAAAAACACGAAATATACGAAATTTCAAAGATTCCTCTCTTTTCTCTTCTTCTCTTCTTTTCTCTTCTCTTGTTTTCCCTCGTGTCATCTCCTCTCCCCTCTCCCGAGTTCCCTGGCCCTAAATTAGTGAAAAATAAAACCTATAAAAGGTACAAGAGACTCTCAACGCGTTGCTCAAATAGAAAAAAAAATCGAAGCCCAGCAGTTAAAAATTATTTGACTTCTTAAGTGCATAAATACATTAACCTGTTTGTTTTAACACACTGTCTACAGGCAGCCCAAGCTTTGAAATATTGTATTTACGTTTTATAAAATAGGGCGAAATTAAAAGGCTATACCGCGCCAAGTTTTCATCGGAGAAATCTTGAAATCTTGCCTGAAGATAATTGAACAAAATAAACGGGTTTTATGATTATCTTATCTTGTTAATGTTCAGTAGTTTAAGGTTATGGGACAGGGGATGGTTCTTTGGATTGCTCAAAATCCTATCTTGGGCTACCTGTGGTGGAGTATCACTTTCATTAGATCAGTCCCATGCGAACCACATGAGAAAGACAACAAAGCAAACAGTCTTAAAAACAACATATTTTCAACGAATTTTTCATTAATTTGGTCCGTGTTAATGACTCAGAATCTTGTAATTACAAGAATAATGTCAAGCTGACTAACATTCATTTTCCTCCGTCTACATTCGATAACAAAGTCATCACAAATTATCGAGTGTCAATCAAGACAAGAGCACACAGCTGTTCACAGTACGAACATCTAAAGATGCGACAGGAACAAAGTTTTGTCACGATACTGGCAAACATATATATATGTACAGAGTAATTTAACCTATTAAAACAAAAACTCCCTGAAAATCCTGGGTTTTTTTTCCGTCGAAAATCTCCTAAAAATCAAATGCATACTAAAACTTTCAAAACAGCGACAGAAATTTTAAATTAATTTGTTTTTATTTCTTTAATAAAGTGATCAAGTGCTTGGAGTTTGGATTTCAGACAAATTTTAATTACGCACTTCAAGGACAGTAAAATGAAATTGTTATTTTGGAATTAGGCTTAGTGTTTCGCGACGGTTCTTGCTCGCGCAAGTTTATTTCACGGTTTCATTTATCTCGTTTATTATTGTAATTATTCGCTGCTGAAGTGAAGGTTGATCAAAGCGTACAGTAAACCAAACCGTCCGGGATACCGTATGGGATTCATCTTCACGAGGTAAGAAACATTTGTGATTTTAAATAGTTTTAAAGGTCGATAACTAATATCAGTACTAGTAGCGCAACATTCGACGGATTCAAACTAAGTTTTTGAAATTGTTTCCATAGAAATAAAACTCTCGCTCGTGATTTTGATTTCTTACGCAATTCTGTCCCGTACTGTCCTGCTTTAAGAGGTATCTTTTTGGCTTTAGAGCCTGCAGCTGGGTATTGCGAGTGGGAAGAAACGTTTCTTCATGGGATATCCCCGTATTAACGCGTTCAAGTCGAAAGATCAATTGTGATCGCCTGCTATGAAAAAGCTGGGTTTTTTTAACGAAGTAAAATACATCTTTTTAACTCAATAACTATCCCTCTTTTAATTAAACATACATGACCGCTCATAGAGTTAACTTGCGCACCTAGTACAAACTTCCAGGAATGGTGATAAGACTACAGTACAAAAAGATTGCCCTTTTATTGGGTTAATTTTCCGATTTGTGGTTTCAAGATGAAGCGCTTATTCACCCTTAGACAAACAAGCTTTTTCAGTGTCACCACCATTGACAAAGGTGTGCAAAGAGAGAAACGAAGAAACCTTTATTTGTTTATTTTATTTCGAGGAAAAATTAATTTTTTTTATACTCCAATTATCCCAAGACTTACAATCTTCCCGAAACTGCAATATGTGCTTTGTCCGTTCACAAAGACAATACGTTGACACAAGTTTGGAAAAAAATATTACGAAAAAGAAAATTTTCTTTGTTTATCGTATTTTGTTTGAAAGGAATCGAAAAAAAAAAAAACTTTTGCGGTTTTGTATTGCGCGCAAGGGAATCTAACGAAAACAAAAAATATACGATCTGCTTTGGCTGATTTTGAATTGCACAACTTTAAATCATCTTCGCGCACTTTTGAGTCTAAGTTAACGAGATCGCAGTCTTGTTGAAATATAATTCAAAAACATATATGTATGGCTTTGCTGAGGTTGTGGACAGGCGGCACTAATGATTTCGAAAACAAGTTTCAAATGATCGATGACGTAATACCTTAATGAAGATTTGATTGAGAGATCGAGATCTAATTTCAATTTTGACTCCACAAATTGCTCTACAATTATTTATTAACAAAGTACTAAATTTGGTCACTTATGAATAGTCCCTTTCACAGTTCCCTGCACTGTCTTGCAAGGTAACCGTGCCTTTGCATCAAAGCTAGATGAACGGTGAGCTTGCAATGATAGCGACATGTGAATAAGGTGTTTAAAAGGTCTCCATCATTGCAAGCACACCGTTCATCTCGCTTTGATGCAAAGGCACGGCTACCTTTCAAGACAGCGCAGGGAACTGTGAAAGGGGGCTATTCTCTATTTAGAAAACCATCATTGAATTACTCTGAGAATGAAAACTGAGCAATGTTTGTCATAAACGAACAAACGGCACCCTAAAAGTTGAATTAATAAAGAGGTTTCAATTTCCTGAAGCTGTTCATAATCTATAGAGTTCATCTTATGGCATGTCGTCATGTTTACCGCGATTTACGTCATGTGTTGTCAGCGTGCGCACATGCGCAGTACGCATTTTATCATTCTTAGCGGTCATATTGGAAAGAAATGTTAACCTTCATGACATTTATACGCTGAAAAGTTCACTTCATATTTCATATACTTAATTTACTCCATTAGTTTAGACTAGTTTACGAGTTTCATGTAGGAAAAGCCAATTCAGTGTCAAGTCGAGTAACAACATTTAATTGGATTGTTATCGTAAAGCCAAATAAATGTCAAACTGCTACTGTATTACAAGTTTTTCTTTCGAAAATCACTATTCTAACTGTCACAGCTCGTCAAACCTTTCACGCGCAGTGACTCAGTACCTTACGCTCTGAAATCCCATGCAAGAATACCAAAATCATTATGAAGCCATTTCAATGTAGTTGGCATGCTATACCGAGTACTGTGATTTTCTCACCTCATATACGAAAACTTTTTAAATAAAGAAACGAAATGCTTAACTCGCTCTCTCTGCAAAACAACATGAATATTGAGGTAAAATTTAGCACAAAGTGAGAATATTAACCAAAGATATAACGATATTTCTTATTTCAGTGGTGATGAAAAGCCTGTTATGGAAGCTAGAACCTCTTACCTTTTTATTTTCTGTATCCTTGTGTTTCCTATTCATGGCATCGCGTTGACCAGGCAGCCAGATTTGAGGAATGGTGTCTTTGTACCTTCACGGCCAGGTAGGTGAAGACATTATCTGGGTTTGCCTGGAATACAGTGTGAACCAGCGACAGTAAGCAAGGATATTCAACAACCATATTGCTGGGTTTCACTCAAATGGTTTTCAAACACTGACTGACCACCATGTGCCGTCAGCCAGAAAGAATTCTATTGAAAACTTGCGATTCAGCTTAATGTCATTTTCCGTGTCTCGTGCGGAATAATCATCTTGTAAATATATATCGCACGTCTTCAATCAAAAATTCTATTTGGCTGATAGCACATGGTGATCAGTCATAGACTATCAGTGATTGTCCATCATTTGGAGCAATAAGATTCAAAGACTTTTATCAGCTGATTGAAACCCATAATATTCTACTTTAATAAAAGAACAAGTGTGATTGATCAATGCGGGTGCAAAATACATCTACAACATTGGTGTATTCGGGAAGGTAGGTTTTTATATGGGGAGAGGGGCTAAAGGGGAGGGTCATCAAACTGTTTTTGAACTTTTTTGGAGGGTGAATTTTTTTTATTTTGACGAAAGCTAGGTTCTTGCTGACTTAATAGAAGGGTCATGAATCTCTTACTGAGTGAAAGGGGGAGGGCTACAACCCTTATTAATACGTAAATTGCGAATCCCCTCCCCCCTCCTATAAAAACGTACCTTCCCTTGTAAGAACGAATGGCGCTCGATAGTTATACCCCTGCACACACCATCCCATCTTAAACATCCCATTATTACCTTACAGGTCATGCACTCAAAGGTTACGTGTTTCATCAGCTTCTGGTAGGAAGCGCCATTAGATGTGGTAATGCATGCCTTATGAATGACAAGTGTCAATCATATAACTATGGCAACACTGCTGACTCCGATGGAAAGTACATATGCCAGTTAAATAACAGTACAGGGGGCTCAAATCCGTCGGACCTCGTGGTGGATGAGGGGTTTTCGTATTATGAAGAACCGCAGTTACAGCCAAATCAGGTTCGTAAGGCGCGGGCAGGAACATTGGATGAAATTTCTTAGACATTCATCCAGTCCTATACGTTCATCCAATCCGTTTCGGGTACATTCTTATTCCTATGCGTCAATCCAATCCATTTCGTGTACATATCCCTATACGTTCATCCAATCCATTTCGTGTATCTTATCATTCCTATACGTTCATCCAATCCGTTTCTGGTACATTTTCATTCCTATACGTTCATCCAATCCGTTTCGGGTACATTCTTATTCCTATGCGTCAATCCAATCCATTTCGTGTACATATCCCTATACGTTCATCCAATCCATTTCGTGTATCTTATCATTCCTATACGTTCATCCAATCCGTTTCTGGTACATTTTCATTCCTATACGTTCATCCAATCCGTTTCGGGTACATTCTTATTCCTATGCGTCAATCCAATCCATTTCGTGTACATATCCCTATACGTTCATCCAATCCATTTCGTGTATCTTATCATTCCTATACGTTCATCCAATCCGTTTCTGGTACATTTTCATTCCTATACGTTCATCCAATCCGTTTCGGGTACATTCTTATTCCTATGCGTCAATCCAATCCATTTCGTGTACATATCCCTATACGTTCATCCAATCCATTTCGTGTATCTTATCATTCCTATACGTTCATCCAATCCGTTTCTGGTACATTTTCATTCCTATACGTTCATCCAATCCGTTTCGGGTACATTCTTATTCCTATGCGTCAATCCAATCCATTTCGTGTACATATCCCTATACGTTCATCCAATCCATTTCGGTTTCATTCTTGTTTCTTGCGTCCATCTGATTCAAGTCCATTCTTGTACCTTTTAGTAGGAACTAAGATTTTTTTTACACTATGATTTTGTAGGTAAAAATAAATTGTTACGAAGGTCTTTGTCAGAATGAAGGAACGTGCAAAGAAACGACAGAGGGTTACTTCGATAGATGTGAGTGTTCAACTTACTACACTGGGAAGTATTGTGACGACTCCAAAGGTAATATATTATGCCTTATTATTTACATAGCGCCCTTTTTTGCATATGAATATGTTGATAGCTAATACACTTTACCATCAGATATGAATTTTATTATGAGAGATGGTTAGTATATGAGGTGTAGCCGCTTGACCAAATTAAAAATGAAGTGCGCGCATGGACAGTACGTATGCATGCAAATTATGCGTTTAGAAAAAAATTCTCACCCAATTTCGCCGTATACTTCAACTGGAAAGCCTTGCCCCCTTGCATGATTGGCAGGACAGTAAAACCATAAAGCCAAGTAGGTCAGGTTACGAGACTGAGGGATTGAACTAGACATCGATTGGCGGATCTTGGATCGAAAAAAAGGTGTCATTTTTTAGCTTTTGAAAGGGTACGGAGAAGCTTAATGTACAGGAAAACCATGTCCAACCTTTATCATTTGATTTATGCTTCTAAATTCTGAGTTTTGAGTGGTTTTTTAATTTTGGAAAAACAGGAACTGTGCATGGCTGGACTGGACTGGACTTCAGTTGATTGGATCGTGGATCGCAAACCGTTTTTTTATGTCTAATCTTGAACTTTTATTTTATGATTCCTATTCTGATATTCATAACTAGTAGTTATATGCTAAAATCTTTCAAAAAAATGAAGATTTAAAAAAATTACAAATGCGATTACACGATAATCTGTATCCGTTATTTTAAAACCAGGTCAAAGTATACAAAGCCGACAACCTTTAGCCGCACGCTGATTGGTTTAAAAAAAGTTTCTATTGCTTTACTTGAGTTTTTGATTGGCTGAAATAAACTATCAAATTTATCCGAATTGAACATCTCGCGCGCACCGTAGTGGTATTTACTAGCTAAACTTATCTATTTAATTTCCAGCCCGCGATTGCAAAGAAATATTAAACATGGGTGGAACAAGTAACGCTGTCTATCCCATCAACCCGGATGGTCAGGGGATTATTCGAGTTCTTTGTGACCAGACAAGAGATGGTGGGGGATGGATAGTGATACAGCAGCGAAAAACTCCCTTCAATGCGAACTTCTATGCGAACTGGACCACATACGAAGAAGGTTTTGGTAACACTAGCTCAGAATTTTGGCTCGGTAATAAAGCGATACACCGTATTACTAAAACACCTAGACAACTCTTTATCTATCTTAAAAGCGACCAAAACGAAGGTACTGTGAAATACTACAATTTTACTGTCTCGGACGATTCTGGTAACTATCGTAATCAGTTCGATACCGTTCAGCAGAGCTTGGCTGCAGGGAATGCAATGTCAGACAACAAAGGAAGGGAGTTTTCGACATTTGATCGGGATAATGATTCAAATCAATACACCAACTGTGCAAGCATAATGAAGTCTGGATGGTGGTACGATAGCTCTTGCGGACACTCGGACTTGAATAAAAATCTACCACTTTGGGATACCTGGTTTGACTACCTTAAACTTTCAGAGTGTTGTATGAAAGTACGTTAGGTGAAAATTACATGCACAGCAAAGAAAGCATATTGATCATAAAAACACCGCGCACAAAAAAAAAAAACAGATATAACTAGCTGAAAACTAGTGTGAGCTGCGTCGGTGTTTCTAATGAAACAAAAAAAAAAAAAACCACTTTGAACGACCTGAAGAAGATTCAAGGTAACTGTTTGGCGGTATAATGTTGCCGCAGAAAATATTGTTGATCTACTTGAAATGCGTGGCCTGGGAATCCATGATAGGCTACTTGGTTTTTTGTTCTAGTACATTTTGAAACGCCCAGCAAATAATGTAGATTAGATTCTTGAGCAAGAAGAAAGAAAAGGGAATAATAAAAAAATAGAAATAAAATAAAATAAAATAAATAAATAACGAATTCGGAAACAAACTGTTATATCAGCCATTGTGATTCCATTGTGTTTACTGAGACTTGATTCTAAGCACAGTTTATGTTTTTGGGCAGTATGTTACGTAAAATCAGTATATATACATTCTGAAGAACTTGAGATTATTATTAGCGATTGTATTGAAATGCCATTCTTTTTTTCTTTGTTTTGAGTTATTTTTAGAATTGTGAAGAACTGTTTGGACTACAAATTTCTAAGAATACCAAATCCCTTTGAAGACAGCACTTTGTTTTCCTAATTGGTCTGGATTATACTAGGTATTAGGACAATAGCAACCGACGGCACGTATTACTTTGTATGTGTATAACAAGAGCTGAACGCGTCTTGACGGATAGCTGGTAGAGTTGACCTGAGACTTGAACCTGTGCGCGTTTTTGCTCGTAGGAACATAAAGCAGTAATACGTGACTCACGATATCTTGACCTTATTGAAAACATGAATCGTACGGCTAGACTTTAAACAATCAGATAATGGTTTTACATGCATGAATATTCTTTGTTATCAGTTGTTTTCCTAAATAACTTTCATCTTATACCGACGCGTGCCGATAGGAATGAAAACGCTTGCGTAAGTGGGGGGAGGGCTACGGAGGATGATTAAATCCGCCTGTCCACATACAGAAAATGAACTATTATTTCGCTTTGGAAACATGACCCAGTCACGTCTGAAGTTTTAAGGACATATATCTAGTGACTTTAAACACGAAGGAATCGAGGGACTCAATATATGATCATTGCCGAATTGATCCTCTGATTGACCTTAATGAACAAATCTGCGTTCGGAATATACGAAAATTAAGGTAGCTAGTGCAACCTTTTCCCCATAGAGCACAAAACAAAAGCAGAGAGAATATTGATGTTTCTGAAAACAATTAACAAAAATTCCCCATCCTACCCATCATAAAAACGTTTGTCTTCCATAATAATAAGGGGGTAAGACAATGTAGCACGCGTCCCGACAAAAAGGGCGCGTGTTGAATCGGATGTTTTCCTTTCTCGTGGTTTTCATGAAAGATGTTTTTTTCAGAATCAACATGCATTTACCGGTACGAAGTAGAAAAACCTGGACAAAGAATTATATTGAGAGACTAATAAAACACCTGCGAGCACCGTTATTTAATAAACAGAAAGATTTTCCATACTGATATAACAGACCAACGCGTTGGGCTTTTCTGGATATTGGATGGACTGAAACAATGAAGATTCGAATACAATTTGATAATCAAGGCACGTGTAAAAATGAGGTAAATGGCGGAATCACGGGAGGGAACATTAGTTATATTTGCGTATGTGCATTCTATCAGCAGTATCGAGATGTACTACAAACTGGATAAAAAAACATGTTTGCCAGGCTCTGACTTAGATGTCATAACCTTTTATCTGACCGTCATGAAAATATATCGTTAATTTTTGCACGTTACTGCGCTATGTTTTCCTATTCACGAACGTACAAACAACCCCACGAGGAATACTAGGTCAATAAACGTTCCAGCGAATTGTCCTAATTTTCCCACCCCAAGAATTACAAACCTCGATGTAAGGCTTAATAGGATGCTTAGACAGTTTTGCTTGACGGGGTATAAAGACGAAATTCCTCAATCTAGGTTCTGGTAATAATTTGATACTGGAGGGAGAAGGCTAAAAATGGACCAAATCTTGGTGGTGACTTGGGCGTAATGTTTTCCCATTTTATTGTTATTTCCCTGAGAAAAAGATTCTTTATTTAAGTTGTATTCATATACCTTGTTATATATGTGCAACCATTAAACAAGGAAATGATACTGTAGGGAAAGATACACGGTCTTAAATGGGAAAACATAACGCCCATGTGGAATTGGTTCATTGAAATAAAAAATGCTGAACTTGATATGGACCCATAGTCCCATATACTTACTATACTGCTAACTGCATGGTCTATTCTACTCCTCCACAACCACGCGGTTTATGTGTTCGTAGCCGACCCTGGTGAGTCGTATCAGTTTTAGTTTATCCCGACTAACCCCCTCCCCCCTTGGAGATAATTCGTCACCATACCTCCGAGAAAAAAATCTAGAAATTAATAATAATAACTTTAATAATAATAATTATTATTATTATCATTAGAAATTAGCCTGTGAAGGTTATATAGAACAGTTAGATGTAAGGTTTTTAGAGAACAACCAGGGCTGCTAATCTCTATGATAAAATTATGGTCATAAAAAATATTATTTTGTTAAGACTGAAACGATATATTAGTGACAAAGAGATGCACCGCCATGAATAAATTATCTCCTGTACTGATCTAGGTATTTGTAAAGTTGTCAATTATAACTTAAATCCAACAAAAACGGAATCCCATGCAGTGACCAGGTAGCACGCAACTTTCCCTGGAAATTTTAAACTTGTTTGGGCACTGAAAATGTAAATTCCAGACAATGTCCTGCTCATGTAAACGTAAAGACAGGAAAAAAAATATTCCAAAATGGTTATTTTTCCCGTAACTTTTATTTGCGTGTTAAAAATGATCGCTGGGGGCATAAATCTCATTAACATATTTTAAAAAACCATTAAGATTATGGGTATGTTGCTGGTAATGAGAAAAGTACTCATGTAGCGATGATATTCGCACGATATCGCACGCTAATCCGAATAAGGCGAAAATTAATGGAAAAAACTGCAGCAAAATATAATGGAATGAAGTACTAAGTAAAGAATAAAAGAAAAGAAACAAAACAAATCTTTGTTCCTGGTAATGAGAATGGTAGTCATGTGGTGATGACATTCACACGATATCGCACGCTAATTCCTCACACGGTGAAAAAGAAAAAAAAAAAGACCCTAAAAAAATGAATGAAGCACTGAATAAAAAAATTGAAAGAAAAGGGGGAAAAACCTGTAAAGACTGGTATCCCTCTCTTGTTTTCATGTGCGTGTTCAAAGGGCCAAATGATGATAGAATAAATGAATTAGCATATTTTCTTTTTTGAGATAAAAGGCACTTCTAAACAAAGAGTACTGCACTCTGAGTTGGACAATGCAATTAAAACTCTTCAACTTAGAACTACCAATAACTAAGAAAAAGAAAAGAAAAGAAAGCGGAAGTAAAGCACACTTTGTATCTATGTGGGAAGTAAGAATAAGAGGTGGGATGAATCTCATTAACGTTTAAAGAACCAAACTCTAATCCTGGTCAAAGTGGAAAGTATTGTACGCTTCTCTGCACGATGAAGGACTCTAATCAGTTTAATTAAAATTATAGTAAATATAAATGAAACGAAAAAATCGAAGCACGAAATAATAAGAAAAGTGGGGTTTACTTTCGTATAGTTTTAGCTTGCGTGCATAACGATGTTAGTAGAACCAGGAATACTCATTTGCATATGTATAGAGTTCAGCACTATTAAAGGAATGAGATGGTACTTGAGGTAACGATAGCTATCGAGGTATTGCACGGTATCTTGCGTGCTGGTCAAAACTAGCGGGTATTTATTTCTTTTTCGTTTCTTTTATATTAGACAAACCATGGTAGCTTGAGCGCTGCGGGATGATTTTCAAAATATTTTTGTCACAAATGTTTGGAAGAAAATTGCGTGCGACGCGTTCTGGCTTGACAAAATAAGACCACAGCGCATGCGCATCTTAGTTACTTGTATCTACTCAACAAAAATACGAAGGCACAAATAAAAGAATTTATTAATACAAAAATGAATGAAAATATTCATGAAGGTTGATACTCACGGCAAAAATTAAGACATTTTGACGGCAATCAACTAATAAATGCATACTGAAATATGATAATGAGAATAATAAATATAAATAAATAAATAAACATATTTATGGTCAATCAAGTTGTGTTGCGTAAAATAGCGCAGAAACAAGAGATTCTATTATCAGTGGTTTCATTGTCTTTTGAGACAGAAAGAGAAATGAAAGAGGATGTCGGCTAAGTGAGGTGTGGTCACTAAATAGTAAGAGTTATAAACTTCTTTGTCCTACTAATACACTGGAATACTTATCTGAGTACTAAGTTGACTGGTGATATAAAAGACGATTCTTTCACTTTAATGAGATGGTAGGCTGTTGCATCAAGGTCTAAGTCTTTCTATTAATAGGCTTTCGAAAGAAGACAAGACTTTAGAGTCGAGCTAGAGGAAGCCAGGCACCTCAAATCCCTTGAGCAACTTAGTTTTAAGAACTCCATAACATACTATTTTTGATCCTTAGCAATACATTTTTTTTCTTGTTTTTCACTTAGTTCTTTTAAAAAACTCTTACGACTTAGCAAGACGAAGTGAGAACGCCAAAGCCTGATACATTCGCCGAAGTACGTGCAGTTCCCTAGAAACAGTATCTAATGCTTGTGATATTTTAATGCCATAGTTTAATGAAATTGCATGGGGGTTGTGATCCTGAGAGACTGATATTGAGATCCTTTGAGAAGCTTGTGACACTGTAAGCTCTGAAAACTACACAAGCTTCTAACTGAAAGGATCTCTATATCAGGCCCCGTTTACACGAAGCCGGATATTTTTTTATCCGGGTAAAAAAATGTGCGTTTACATGCGGCTTCGTTTAAACGCTCATAGGAGTTAAATGAGCATGCGCATAGTTCCTGAGCCTGCGATCTCCTTTGTTTAGTGACGTCAGCGTTAACGAAAATATCCGGCTTCGAGTGTTTACATGGAAAGGCATAGCCAGCGTTTTCAAAAATATCCGCTTTGAAAAGCGTTTTCGAAAATAGCCGGCTAAAGACCGTCTCCGTGTAAACGCCTAAACGGATAAAAAAAAATGCGTTTACAAAATATCCAGCTTCGTGTAAACGGGGCCTCAGTTTCACTGGTTTAGAGGGAATGCGGAGAACTCTGAAATCAGAGAGATGCCAGGTGTACTAACCGAGTACGACACTGGCCAGAAGGTGTACTGAAAATATCGTGGTCGTCATGGAAGTAAACGTAATATAGAAGCAGTAGTAGCACTAATATTGCTTTCGAGTAATTTTCTGGAGCGTTCGCTTTCTTTATCGTCGTTTAAAAAGCTAATTCTTCCTAAAAGCAATCAATCTTTGCTACCAAAAAAAAAACTAGGAGGATAGTGAAGCTTATATGTTTATGAGGAAAGTTCCGACTATCATAGATCTTAGTGGTTTATTTTCTGAAGATCATGAGTACTAATCGTCATGAACAAAACATAATATTTACCATCGTCGTTAGGAAACATTTTTTATAGAAGCGGCACAAAAACACTGTCTTGTTTACGAGAAAACCTTTGTGCTCGCGGTCTTCTGAATTTTCCCGCTATGCGCTTGAACGGTCCCACGCTGACTTCCGCGTCAAAGCTCATCGTCAACAACTCACCACAATAACATGAGTCTAGCAAAAGAATAACAAATCATATCCAAAAATAGGTTATAGAAAATGTTCGTCAAATACTATAATTATATGAAGTGTGAAGAAAAAGACTTAAGATTTTAGGAAAGTTTAATGAGTATATTGTTGGTTATAATAAATTACTACTTCAACCTCCTGTTTTGTTAACATTTATTTTGCTAGCAAGCTCTTATCGTCTAGTCTTCTACGTCCGTATTAGACTAGTAATCGACCTACATGGTCGTCTCCAGGGAAGAGTCTAAATAATAAAAACACAAGGAAACATGAGCAAACAGCCTAACACGTATAGTATATTGATCTAAATTTTTCTCTAGAACCTCCGTTACGTTCCTTCCGCAAGAACCAACACGCTAGCCGTGCCTTAACTTAATTAGCCTAGAACTGAACTATTCCTGATTTCGATAAAATTGGACGGTTTTTAGAATCCAGAATATTTGAATTATTAAGCTTTGAACCAAAATAGACCAAAATTTTGGAAGAGGTAAAATCAGGGAAATGCTTCCTGCAAAGAAAAACGAATTGGTGTTTTGTTTCCGTTTAAGTATAGGAAAAGTATACTGAAAGTTGTAACGAACGCCAGTCATCTCTAAAAGGGAGTTAGAAGCATAGAATAATCATAAAGTCAAAATACTATACACTCAGTAAGCCAGAACGTACCGAGGTTAAAGGAAAGGGAAAAGAGAACCTAAATACGACTACAATTATTTACTGACGGCCACGGGGTATAGAGTTATGTAGGCCTCAAAGGAAGTATTCTAAAATACTGCTCAGAATTAAATTTAACTAAGAATTATTGTTTATATTTAAGAATTATTATTAAAATTTAGTAATAGCCGGTTTTGTTGGTTTTTCTATTCTAGATGAAAGTTTTTATAAGAGTCAGTTAATTCCATCCCAAATTCAAGACAGCTACGAAGTGATAATAGGGCTGGAAGTATCTTAGCGGTATCATAACTTAGTCGTGGATGGATAATTATTAATCAAGGAGAAAAGTTCATAAACAAGGCCGAGACCAGACCCCTTGGAAGGATTAAACTCTGTGTGATTTAATCCAAAAACCTGAATTGCTCAATTCAGAAATTAGAATCAAAATGTTATTTTTGGCAAGAATATCTGAAGCATTCATAATACGTAATTTTAAATGGAGAAATAAACTTGGGATATTATAGAAAAATACTCATTTTTCTTTTGAAGATATCGGACCGATTGGTAAAATGACTAGAATAAGTTGTCTTAGTTGTAGAGATGTGGGAGTGATATAGTCATTGTGCGGGTTGGAAAAACCAAGAGTAATCCAGAACCATTACCAAGGCTACCCCACACAGGCAACGTCAGAGTCGGTCAATATTTACGCAAGTGGTCATTCGGTTGTAACGCGTTCTGAACGTTAAGGCACATACTGTTTCTCATCCATAACGATATTTACGAGCCTGGGTAACTTATCTTATAAGAAGCACAACGTGTCACTGCAGTATTTTGGATTAATATATTGGTGGGAAAATTGCGATCAACCATGACTACAAGAGTTAGTGTTTGGTATGACTCGCCCACGCCTCACCAGCTTTGTGTAATGTTCGTTCGTCATCAAGTTAAAAACGGGAAAAAACTAATGAATGGATTACGTGTTACTACGACACAAAATCCAAAAATTAACCAAAGTCTGATCCAAGAATATAACAGGATGAAAAACAAAAATATCAAATACCAATATAAAAAGAAGAGAAATTTGGTAATTTCCAAGGGCGTGTGTTTATGATAATGTTATATGATTATCAATGAAATGGAAGAGGCAGACAAAAAATAAATGATTCATTTTATATTTTCATTAATATCTTTAATTTCAAAAATATACAGCAACATAAACACAAGTATTTATATAGCACAATACTGTAAGGTACAACTTTGCATCACTAGAATAATTAATCTATGAGAAATGGAAAATATTTAATCTTTGGGAAATGGAAAGTATTTAGCAAGGGTAAGACATTTCATTTACTAACACAATATTGCCTTACATTTTAAACTTAAATATTAAATGCTTAATAATAATAATCTAATAGAAAAATATTCACTAGAATACTTGCCAGCAAGACTTTTTGCTTTTACACACATAAATAAGCTAGATATCTTAATAAAGAACAAGAATATGTACAGGAATCTTTATGTACAGTATGTTATAGTCATGTCAGAGTAATAACTCTGTACCAAGTACAATCAATTTGATTGAAAAGATATATATATTCCACATAAACGTTACTTAAAGAATTTTCTCTCAACTTTCAAATAATGCATTTTGAACATCTGTGATAGATTAATTCAATGTCCTTAGGATAGTGAATGCAAAACAAGTAGATCTTTTATAAAATATCTTATATATATACATATATATTCATATTTTCTTGGCTTTTTCTCAAATCTAATGTCGAGATATAAATTCCATTTTGGCTAAAATATTTCACATTAATTTCAAACTCAACTCAACGAAGTCATATATACATAAATATCAGGATTTCAAACCAGACTATCATTTTTGTGCAAAATTTTATAATAAATAACAAAAACCAGGAAAAATTCGTTGAATTAAAGAAAATAACTTTAAGTTAGAGGTTTATTACCAAGAGAACAACTCTAGACTATAAGAAAGCTGGCAGGATGCTGGAGTGAGTTTAATTTGAATAATCACTAGACGTCGATAATCTCACTATCGAGTATTTCTATTTTGTTCAAAAATATCTAATCCTTTAGAAGAATTTTAAATCTTCCAAGGATTCCTGAAAGAATAATGTCGCAAAACAGGTTCTAGTTGTTATTTTGTTTGTATTTACACGTTACTGGGCGACAGTACCAGTAAAATTATAAATTCGCAGCTGTCTATTAGCATGTCGACATCGCACGCCAGACAGTTGTAGTAAGGAAAAGCCACTCATTAATATTCATGTCTGCGCCCCAACTAAGCCACTTTTTCGTCTCGTCTGGGAGTACAAGCGATAATGTTCAAGCTTTTTTTCATGTTTTCATTCAAGTCTTCTAGAGTAAGATCTTCTGGGTAGCCTTTCTGGATGGCAGTTTCTTTGTGTTCGAGGAAGCAGTGCTGTAATGTAGAAACGCTTCCTGGTCTACACATACGTAGCCAGCCTACTGCTTCCGCTGCTGTAAATTTATATTGCTTAATTAAATAACACGCGATTAGAGTTCCTGTTCTTCCAAGTCCTGCCCTACAGTGAACAGCAACGGCCCCTTCACACTGATCGACGACACGAGTAAACTTCTTTATGATAGCTTTAGTAGGAATCCCGCCATCTTCAAAGTACTGATCGTAGTGTGCGAAACCGTTTGCCGTGAAACAACGGGCATCATACACGAGACCATATTTTATCATGTTGTCATCTCTATTCAATCTTACTACGGATTTTACTTCATTCTGTCTGAAGTACTTCCTTAGTTTAGTGAATCGGCTGGCTTTTACGTTGTTTCTTCTTTGAGGATCAGAAATCGCCAGAATCTTCCCAGGCACGATCCAGTTTAAATCGAATGTACGTTCGTCCTCTTCGTATTTGTTCAAGTCAAAGTCTTCAAAACTAAAGAATCCTAAAGAAATAGCCTTCTCAAATCCTTTCAAACTGTCTGATATAGATAAATTATGAGATTTACTGCCATTTATATCGCAATAAGGCAGAAGAGAGTTCGGTTTGAATTGGTTTGCCATCGCTTCATAAGCTTCTTCGGCGGTCATGTTTAACTGACTAACGGCAAACGCGCCACATAAAAATATGGCTCTTGTTCTCTTTCTTTTCTCATGTAAACCATCTTCAGCGGTAGTGTACATGACTATCTTCTTCGCTGCCGGTACCATATGAAGCTTGGTATTCACCAAGCAGAAAAATCGGTAAATGCCGGCCAGGTTTGATGGGCCGAAGTAAGGTGTGTCGGCGAATTTACAACCGTCTAAGGTCCAGTCATGATCGACGCTGAAATAGTGGAAATTCGGGCTGTTTCTTGGCTTACACGTTACAGTGACAAAGAAAAGACGATCCTTGATTAACTCACAAGAACTCATCACGTTTCTATCCCACATTTTCGTATTTGTTGGCAAAAAAACTCGTGGTACAAGTCGTAGTTACTCCTCGTACGAAAAACCAAAACAACACTAACAAAACCGTCGTCGTGGCGCGCTATAAACTCATTCATTCATGTTAGAAACCGGTTCTGTTACGTCATGGACAACAATGACGCCGATTGGTCAATTCGCGATTGTTTGCATTTTGCTCCATTACATGGACCAATCAAAAAGCAGGAAAGAACAATTTATTCCTCCTCCGGGTCGAAAGTCCAACTAGCAGGAATTTGGCGCGAATCGCCGTTGCGTATTTGGAATGATCGTTACGTGTTGTCGAGCACATTCCCGCCAACGCAACCAAAATAGAAGGAGGAAATATGTTCGGATTTGTTTTGATGAGTGATAATTTGCATATATTCGAATAATAACAGTTTCTCGTATGAAATTGGGCTATATTATTCCACTAAGAGACTGAAAAATCCCACGTGTAAGTTGCGCAAGTGAGAACAATTAACATAACAATGTTTTCGGTAGTGATACCTTCTGTTCCAAGAAACGAGGGAAGAGGGGTTAAAGGAGCGTATCGTGACTCTAGAGTTTGTTGACAAGAATATTTGAGAATGTGAGATGCCGAGGTGTTTATGAACCATCATTTGCCTAGTATTCAGAAATAAATTTTTAAAATGTAGTATTTTGAGTGGAACAGAAAAAAAGTAATATCGAAGTACGTGTCTGAAGTGGCCGATGAATTATTCCCTTGGGTGCGAAGGTATTGCCCAAGACGGCATTTGGGATTAAGTCCATTAAAGGTGTAAGTTGAAGTTGGAGAGTATAGGGCTATAAGCTGAYTTTTTCGAAAACTACTCTCGTTTAGTTATTGATCTTAAATGTTGATTTTACATCCGTATTTGCTTGAGAGCTGCGGTCTACGGGGGGCTTGACCTCCCATGTATGACTTATTTCATATTCTTTCCCACACCACGTAGCATGCGAAATGATTCGATAAATATGTATAAGCGTCATTTTAAAGGGAAACAAAACGAGATGATTTCAAAGACGTCGTGATATCGCTAGTAAACTTTTTTGGCGCATTTCATCAATCAATGTTTGATCAATGAATAAATAAACTTTTTGGACCAGTTGTTTTTTTTTTTTATGTAGAACGTGTCTAGGAGGCTTTTGTGGTGCAGGACTGGCGACGGATCAAAAGGGATTACGAAGTATCAGCGTTTCCTTTGACCTGGGTGTATAAGCAGTGTCATGAATTAAAGCGAAATAGGAAGAAGTAGGATCTCGTGGTTTCGTTTCGGCTGCATTCGACTTCCTCATATCGGGATCATATGGCAGAGACTCATGCCACAGCACGTTCTCCATGTACCATTAGTACCACCCCTCTCTCTAGTAGTGATATTTAAAAAAAACTATRTATGTTTTTCTTTTCGCACTATGAAGTGAGTTGTGGTTGGATATAATTTTTAGGGGACTTTGCTATCAAGCTTTATGTGGAACGATATTTTAGGAACATGATACTAGTAAGTTGAAACATTCTCTTGAAGAATGTAAAACCAAAGTTCTGTCTGACTGGTTCAAATATCAAAACAAACGTTTTCACATTTTTGAAAACATCGTAGCATTATTACCTTACATGGTTATAACGTAAAAATGGAAAATGTAAATTCAAAAATCCCGTTAAGAAATTAATAGACAGATCTAAAAATATTGTCATTAAGAAGAAATACTATCATACTTCGATTTTACAATACATACTTGAGAAACAGATATTGTTTTACATTTTTCGAGTGCTTCGAACCATCTCTAGCTGTTGGCATTTGAAAAATGACATCGTTAAATAAAAATATTACTTTGCATTGACTGCATAGTCAAAAAAGCTAGTCTCTGTGGAAATTTCTTTAAATATTTAAGACGAAGCGCCACTGAGTAGCTTTTGAATCTTTACTGGGAACCATAATAAATCATACCAAAACGCGTATTAAAGACATGCTTCTACAAACAGCGCAGCAATGATCGCTACCATTAAACACCAGAAGAGGATCAGTTAGGCCGGTTACCCACGAAGGAAATTTTGCAAAACATTTGCAGTTTCTTGGTGGTCAGCCAGAGAACACGATAGCACTCGCAGCCACCGTTTCCCGGAGGTGACGATCTAAGGGAAGAAAGGTCATACTGGTATATTGTAATGATGGTCCATTGTAGCACGTACAGTGAAGTTTATATTTTACGGCGCTAGTTTTTAGTCCTTTAAATTGAGCAAGAATATCCTTTACGAATCTATCTATAGACACGGCATTAATGGTTTATATGTATATTATATATGAAACACCTGTTGTGGATTTATAACCTGTTAGAATCTTATCTGTAACCCGTCAAATGCACATGTCACATGATTAGTGAATGACCACCAGAGCTTATCTATTGTATCAATAGACAAACGCGCAAACACAAAACCTTTATAAATCATTTGTAAAAAGTTTAAAGAAGGAATAAACCGGATTAAAAAAAAAATTCCATTRAATATGAGCTGGAACGTAACAACGAGGAAGCCATTTCTTTTAAAACATCAAAAGTAAAATGAATTCGAAATATGCAGGTGGTTTGCAAAAATAAATAACGCCAGTTTTCGTTAGTTTATTTTGTTGATCAAAAGAAACAAACTCCGTACCGGTCCCACAAAGATATACTAGTATACATTATACAATAAAAAAGCTCTATAAAGAATGTAATCATGTTGAAAAAAAAGTAAAGTACGAAATGATATCAAAATAGAATAAAACGTAAAAGTTAAAGATTACTCACCTTGAAGTACACCTTGCATCTTTCTAAAAGGAATTTAAACTTGACGTCTGTAGCTTGGGTTTGTGTAAAATTTAAGAATTCAGTTGCCTGATATCATAAAAAGAAAAAGAAGATTGCATGAAAATAATAACAAAGTGTTGAAATGGGAAGGGAAATAAATGAGAAAAGATATATATTTACCGTGCAACCAAGCAAAGACTCCACGCATTTGCCCTTCATACGGCAATGCACCATTCCTGTGTGGTCAGAAAAAGAACTGCTGATTTCAAAGTCAGTTTTAATTTGCGCATCGCCATTGTTAGATGCGGAGCAGTTTGGGTTTATGCATACTTCTGATGGACCATCTAGTTTCTGTCCACAAGAGCCACTGAAAACATAAAATACCACGAAGGGCAAAAATGGGATGAGCAGAAATGATATTATCCCATATCACTCAAATGATTTATTTTTTCCATTTTCCCATTATTTAATGTTTTCATGACATTTTCCATTTATTATACTTCTCTGCTTTGACAGAATGGATATTGGGAGGGGGAGATGGTCTGAATCCCCTAACCCATGAATGAACCCCATGATTGAACCCCCTAAATGACAACTATAAACCCTCTAATTAGATAATCTTGATATTATCAAACCCCCTGAGAGGACAAGTACAGAAGTTCTACTTAGGAGCAAGTGGTTGTGGTTTTTTGCGTTTGCCAAACTACATTTTTTCAGATTTGGTTTGCCAGTTTGAACCCCTTAGTGAAAATCCTGCATCCCTAAATTCAAATATTCTTACCATCTGGTGGCAATGAAGCGTTGCCTTTCATTATCCAAATCAAGTTCAGTAACAAATGCATAAATAATGCCAGTAACTTCCTGTGGGACACATTCTTCATCAGCCGTCAAAAGTTTTTCCAGTACTTGGCTGACGGTAAAGATGTCTTGAATATTAGAGACTAGTGAATAAAAAAAATAAACTTGCTTGTTATAGATAGCAATTCAGCAATAAAAACTAATGTGCATGGACTTTTTCAAAGTTTGGGTCTAATACAGGCCAGTCTGTAGTGCACATACTTTCAAAGGCATCATCTCCTGATCTTTCTAAATCATCATCCACTATGTCTACAGTCTGTGTATACTTAAATAGTTGCTGTGCCTCTCTTGTATCTGAAATAAAAAAGAATTGTAACTAACAATCTCAATCAAGTTCTGTTAAGTTTAATATTTTAATTAATAAACAATAAAATAAAATAAATATAATATAAATGGGATTTAACAGTGGCATTTCTACAGAGTAGCTATTCATCCACGGTAATTCCAATTGGAATTTAGGAGTTGATTTTTGCGGAGGGAGGAAAGACGGAGAACCCGGAAAACCCTCGAAGCACAGGAGAGAACCAACAAACAACTCTACTCACATACGACACCGAGCTCAGCGGGACTTGAACCCGGGTTGCATTGGTGAGAGGCGAGCGCTCTCACCGCTACGCCACCCGTGCTTCCCTAATTGCCACTTAAAATAGTAAATATGCAAAATCCATGCAAATATGTGAATGAGTGCAATGGCATTGATTCTATACTTGCAGCACAAATCATAACACAGTGATGGTTCTAGAAATCTGAGAAAAGGGAGCTGTAGAAATTCAGTGTTAGAATTATCTCACCACTGACTATGCAAAACGAAAGCAAAGGAAGTCCAGGGGCATGGTTTCCAGAAATGCTATTCAGTATTGTTTCACAGTTTTGAACAAAAAAAGTTTAAAAAACCATACTGAAATAAAAGGGGGCTGCAGTGCAAACAGCCTCCCAAAATCTGTCCCCGTAAAATGTCTAGATACTTAGTCTAGTAATTATCTGCTATCAACAGCAGCTAACCTACCAGGGTTGGTAGTAATTATAGTTTTTGAGTCACAGGTTGCAACCATTGCCTTCTTGAAGTTATCAAATGTCACCTTAACATCAGCAATGAACAAAACTGCAAAATAAAAAAGATTCCAGTCAATTTTAATTCCACACAGTTTTGAAAACTGACACTGTATGTAAGACTCATAACTAATAGATCAATAACTTTTAAACCTACTAAAATCTTTTGGTAACCAAGTTTGTGAAAGCTCGACAAGCTCAGCATCCCATCTATGAATAATGAATAAAAAGCAGGAAATAACTAAGAATTATATCAATAAATTATCATTTCAAATTTTTCCATTAATTTAATTTAATTTTTCAAAATGTTTATCTTAGAAATATTTACATTATCAATGGGAATGATGAGACTGTATCATCAAAAAGTTTGATTTCGCATCTCTTCACTTGTCTGCCTGTTTTTGTTGTGATGTCTCTTGGCTTGCCAATCTTAAGATTAAGTAATCATAAACCTTATCATTTGCAAAATGATAAATAATATTGAAATGTTATAATCTGAAAAATGCAACATACAAAACACTTTTTATCTCAATCCTGAGTTTGTCACTAAGGAGCAGGGGTGATAAAAAGACACTGATAGCATGCTTACATTTCTTACTGCTGCCATGATATTGATGTGTTCTCCATGAAGACTTTGACCATTGGCTATAATATCTCCCAAAGTATAGAAATCATTGCTTGCTTTTATTGGCACATGAGCCACCACATCAAAATCATTTATATCCCATCCACTGTATAGACTGACTGATGAATGGGACTCATTGACACTAAGCTGAAATCCACTGTAAAATATTAAAACTAATGAATGAGGTAAACACACTCTAAATTTATAGCTCAGATCACTGCTAGTTCGCAACTAGTACTTCGTTGGAGGTGCAGGTGCAGAGGGAGAATCAGACCTTAAAGAGAAGTGGGAGCAGGGCAAGTGGAGTGTAGTGGGTAGGGGGTCTAGGGAATCTTTGAGAAGGTCTGTTAGTGTTCACCAAGTTCATTCATACCTTGGGGTCCAAGGACTCCATCTTTCTTCTGATTCTGTGTTTCTCTTTGCCTGAACTTGTGCATTTCTGATCTCAACTATGAGATAATTCAATAATTCAAGACTATCAATTAAGTATTGATGGTTTTCATGTTGGCCATGTTGGAGGAACTTAACAAAAGAATTGTTAATGAATTTTTTGTTATATCCTCCAACATGGCCGCCGTGTCTTTTGTTATTTAATTCTCTTGGAAATGGTTGAAAACCACCAATATGAATCCAGCATCTGAAGCAGTGGTGGATTTAGGGGAGGTCACAGGTGCCTGTGCACTTCTCTTTATAGCTTGAAATTTGTCAAGTTGGTTAAAACACGAAAGATTGCAAATTGCTAAAAAGATTTATCTTTAACTTTCATGATCCCCCATTCAAAATCCTAGATCTGCCCATACCAAGAATTTCCTTATAATATGGTGTATTAAACTGGTATTGATACTATAAAATTGGCCCGTTATATCGAGAAAATATTGATTAATCTTGACAATGATATGAAAAGTTTCTTACCAACATCATTAATCTTGAATGCTTTTGCTAGGTTGCTAATATGAGTATTAGATCCCCAACAGCTGACATTGATAAAATCAGTGGGGGTGTCTCTCAATGTGAAATGCAAGTGGGATCTAGTGGTTCCAGGATCTAAAAGATAAAGGAATAATGAGATGGGTTGGGATGAGGGGAGTGGGAATGTAATACTTTCACATCTTTATCAAAAAATGTACAACAGTGAAAGGAGGTGCACTTATATCTTGGTGCATGGGCATTCCATCTTTTAAAGGAATGCCTTGCAAATTCTTCAATTCTGTGTGCTAATTTTACTGAGAAAAATGTTTGACAAACATTAGCATAGAGGGGGGGGGGGGGGGGGGGGGTACTCCGCCAGAATTTGGGTAGGGGTGTTCCCCCTATTCTGAAAGGGGTACCCTGTTTATGACAAAAAACACTCAAATTTGCAGACCCTGTTTATGATTTATTGCACTGAGTTCCTGTTTCAATTATCATGTCATCCTGCATATCGTTTTTTTACGACCATAATAACCAGTTTCGGTCAATACGAAAGTAGAAACCCTGAATATGACAGGAATCTCAGGAAGAACTTGGAACTTGAGTGAAATTGCATACCCTGTTTATGACAAGAAGCTCGAAAAACCATACCCTGTTCAGCGGATCATCCCCGTATAGTCCATATATGGGAGTACCCCCCCCCCCCCCTCCCGGGATTGAGAGGTTAATTTGCCAACCATTATCGCGATATTTCTTGACAAGTTGCTTCATTTTATCATATAGATTGCCAAATGTGGAATTGGCTGAGTTACTAATTAATATGCAGCTCCATGTTATTAGATTCTACCCCTGAATATAAAATTAGGTTAGACAGTTAGATGGTTATAGATGAACCTACTTAAACTTTAATACCCTATATAGGTTTTTACGAAATATTCTACGAATGGTACCCTGAGTGCCAGAGGCCGTGTGGGGCTTAAGCCTCTGGCACCCAGGGTATACGAATGGGCGCTTTGAGCATTTTAAAGTAAGCTAGTATTTCGATAAGTTGAAAACTGGTGAAACCTCTTTTAATTACATAAACATTTTCATTCTTACTTTTCTTGTCTTCAAATGAACGTTTTTCTTGTTTAGTTATGACCAAGCCCACCAAAACCTGAAATAGTTAAACGAGTGAGATAATTCAGAAGTAAAAAAAGGTAAAAAAAGCGCTGTAGCAATAAAAAAAACAGAGCGAAAATTTATGGCTTCCTTACAGTGTTCTGCATTCCCTGAGTCAGGTCTCGAACATAATTTTTACCATTAACAACAACTCTGTCATCTGTGAGAGCAGTACCGTCCGGCCATGCTGTCTGTGTACCAAAAGCATCAAGGCCGTTCATATTAAGCCGTATAAAAATGACTTTTTACCATCAAAAACTAATAAGAAAAATCTTGTACTTCTTCTTCTTCTGCAACTTTGAAAAATATGCCATCCTTCGCGTAAAATTGATACAAAAATATAACAACACTTTTGATTGGTCAATTCAAATGTCTCTTTTTTGATTGGCTCTTGATTGAGTCTAAAAAAAGAGCGGGAAAAGATTGCCACGCGCGTCCGATACAAAACTCTACTCTCTCGGGTGGGGAAAAACATTTTTCTGAGAACAAAATTCTCCTCTCCCTACCTGTGGTGGTGATATTTTGGTCACGATTTGGGGTCTGGGAACGAGAGGAAGGAAAAAATGTCTGCCACCATGACAAAGAGTTCTAGATGACAAGAAAATGTTGAATTAAAAATTTATTTGCTTTAACTTTAGAGCTTCAAGATGGCGACAAGGTCAGTATATAAGCCTAAATTGCAGCTAATTACCTGATTTTTTGTAAAATTTATGGATTGTATTTTTTTTGCTGCAGACTTGATCGCCTGCTGCTGTTGTTGGATACTGGTTCTACTCCTGTTATAAGGAAGGCTGCAGCTACACAGCTTGGTGAAGTACAGAAACTACATCCACATGAGCTCCCTAATCTTCTTGCTAGGGTATCTTTTAGCACTGTTCTTTCTATTCAGAGAGTATTGTTGTATGTAGGGTTTTACTCCTTCAAGTATAAACTTACGTACTATAAAATACCTCAATATTTCCCCTCCTGTCATTATGTCAAACAACAGCTTGGATCTTTCTAGTATTTCCTAAAGATTTAAAGAGACCTTCAGCAAATTTTAGTTATTTTGCACACAATGATGAATAATGAACACAGTTTGAAATCGATGTGGTCAAAATGATTTTAAGTTCATAATCAATTTATCAATTAGTCCTCTGAATATTTGGTTCAGAAATATCTCCAACAAGATATCTCTGTGATTAAATATGTTTATATTTTATTAGCAAATAAGAAATTTGAAATATAACGTGCATGCTGATTGGTTGCTACCATGTTTGTCTATATCAGAGGGCATAGACACGATCACGCAAAGTCACCCAAAAATATTTTACAAAGCGATGTGAAAGTGCTGTGTAGGAGCTGTAGAGTACTTGAAAAGCAAGAGGAACTTTCACTATGCCTCATGTTCCTAAGCTTGCTTATCTCATGCTCTACAGCTGTCACAGTACAGAGATGCTGTACAATATGTGTTCACATTTATACTATCGATTGTTTCCAGTGCATTTTGTACAATAAATGTTCAATGTTCGTAAACAGCAAATATCGTTATGATTCCTGTTTTGATCTTGGCAGGTCCACACATTCCTTAAAAGTGATAACTGGGACACTAGGATAGCTGGTGGACAAGCTATTGAAGCTATTGCTAATAATGTTCCCATGTGGGATCCACCAGGAGTTCAAGTTAAAGGTAAAGGTGTTCAGGATTACTCTTATTATTTGTCCTTACAAAATTATAAGAGAGAGTAATGTCAGGTCTGGTTCAATAGCCAGCGTGCATGAGCATAGGTGATAATGGAATTTCAATTCCCAAGCTACCTCCTTAAAAAAACATTTATTTGTATTTTTAGCAATAATGCCATATAACAATCCTTTGATTTACCTCACTTGCTCGGTCTTTTAATATGGGAAAATATCAGACCTCAGTCTTTTATGTACAGACCTTAGTCTCATATTTTCCTGTAAAGACCTTGCGCTCTGTTGGAATTTCAACTCAGAGTGCTTCAAATCCTCTACCCCCTGGTATAAAAGACAGGTGGCAGGTGGAGAGGGAGGGGGGGGACTTGTGATGCACTTACACTCCATCAATGGGAATGTTAAACAGAAACAACATCCTAATATTTGGTGTTTTTCTTCTTCTACTTGTATTTGATAATAGCTGAGGCACAGGATAGTAGTTCAGTCAGCAGTATGGAATCAGAGCAGCTTGAGTTTTCAAAGTTTGATATCAAAAGAGTCCTTCAACATGGTGAGCCATTGGTTGGGTCTTCTGGTGCAGAATATGAGTTGCCTGATGAGGATCTTGCTGGTAAGATACTGTACAAAATAATGTCCATTAAATAATACACATGATAATATAATAATATTATGAAGATATAGGAAGCTTCCTCCTTTTTATTGGTTGGTCCTAATTATGATAAACCTTCTTTTCTTTCTTAATATCTTTCTCCCTTTCTTTCTTTCTTTCTTTCTTTCTTTCTTTCTTTCTTNCTTTCTTTCTTTCTTTCTTTCTTTCTTTCTTTCTTTCTTTCTTTCTTTCTTTCTTTCTTTCTTTCTTTCTTTCTTTCTTCCATTTTTTTCTTTATCTTTTTCCCCATATTTATTCTCTTTCATTCTTACTCTTTCATTCTTTTATTCATTAGTTTTCCTTTCTATTCCTTTCTCGATCCTTCCTTTCTTCTTTTCTTCTTGTCATTCTCTTTCACACACACACACACTCCCTTCCTTTTTATACTTTTTTAATAAAAATTTTGCTGTTTGTTGTAGGTCTGGACCCAAAAGAAAAGTTAATGTATCAGAAGAAAATGGTGCGTAAGAGACTGGGGCTTGATATAATACCTGGACTTGATGTAGGGATGGACAAGTTGTTTGAGGATGAGGACTTGCTCGTAAAACCAGAAGAGACAAGACCCCAAAACCTGAAGAAGCAGTCCTCTTTTGAGGTATGTTCTGATTTTTGAGTTTGTTGTAATAATAACAGGCCTCTTGCATGTGACATCAAAGCACCTCAATTTGAATTGAAGGACAAAAGAATTTCAATCTCATGAGAATTGGAAACCTATTGTTATGTCCTCCAAATTGAGCTACACTCCAAGGTGCTGCAAGGGGTCTGTAGGATGGGAAATGCCAAAGGAAAAAGGGATGTGGTTCTGAATATTATCCATACCTCCCTCATGGCTCCAAAGAGATTGGAATTCCCACAGGGTTATTGCAAGCTGGTTCTTGGAAGGATACATTTCTCTTGGTTCATAGGGAATTTGATATTAAACCCATTCCATTTCTTTTTTATGTTGATTATGTTACTGCTACTGGAAATCTTTCAGAGTGCAGCTGATGCTGTCGCAGCAGAAATTGCCGCCATCAGCTCCTCTTCTAAACTGAGTGCTAGAGAAAAAAACAGAGCCAAGAGAAAAGCAAAGCTGTTGGCCAAACAAAGATCAAAAGATGCTGGTGATAATGCAATGTAAGTTATTGATGGTATAAAAAATAAATTAAGATTAATCTTTTGAATGTCCATATCATGGTTTACAGTTAGTTGTTACATCCTAGTTGATTATTGCATGGCTTAAGTTGATTGCTTACCTTTCTTTTTACCTATTGTGATTGGTTCACCATGGTTAAATCTTTGAATAGTAGCACAACAATGTATTGTCAAAGATTTATTATCATGCATGATCAAATTTGTATAACTTTTTATCAGCGATAATTTAGCCTTTAAGGAAATATTGCCATTTTGGCTGATTGGGACCCTTGTGTTTAATTACCAAAGCAAGCCCAAACAGTAAAATATTTGTGGATGACAATCCAATAACATAATATAGGTGTTTGTACTGAGGTGAACTGACTTAATTGTTGTCTTTAGGAATGATGAGGATGATGCACCATCATCAAAGAAAAGAAAGACAGCAAGTGTTCTAGTGGAACAACCTGCCGACTCAGATAAAATTGTTGTAGACAATGTTACTGATGTTGCTGCCACTTTTGAAGAGGTTTGTTCCCCAACTCCCACCCCACTTCACTTAGACATGTTTATGTCCATCGTAGGAAATCAAGGGTGACAGTGACTCACCCGTTACCTCTGGGGCTCTGGTTTAACTCCTGGACTGAGCATGACCTCCCTTGATTTAAGAGGTTTTCTCTAAGTTCTCTGGTTTTTCTTTTTTCAAAGACTTAGAAAGCTAAATTTCAATTTGATTTGAGAATTAGCCATTCCTTGACTTTGATCATCGAGGTTGTTTGTGCATATCATTAAATATCTTAAATGTTTTAAATATTTTAGTTTCAAACTATTTATCATTAGCATTTTGATGGTCTCTTCAAAAGCACACATGTTATAAAACCACTTTGTCCTTCTTACTTTCAGTCTGGAGAATGGCCATTTGAGGCATTCAGTGAAGAATTATGTCAGGAGCTTTTTCACCAATCATGGGAGGTAAAGATGATTTATTTAACATGCATGTAGTGGTAGTTGTTGTGTCCGCGTTGGAGCAAACCTTTTGTAAAAGGCTGTTTACAGGGAGGGATAGCTCTCAAATGATGATGGCAGTGGTGGTAGTAGTGGTGGTGGTGATGATGATGATGGTGGTATTGGTGATGATGATAATAAAGGTGATGATAATGAAGATGATGATGATAAGGATGATGGTGATGATGCATAATAATGATGATGATGATGATGGTGACGGATTATAAAGGTGGTAGTAGGGATGGTGATGGTTGTGGTGGTGGTGATGAGGATAATGATAATGATGGTGATGATGATGATGGTGGTGGTGGTAGTATGATGGTGATGATGACGAGGATGGTGATGGTGACAGTGATATGACGATGGTTATATTTCTATCATCATTTTTTTCATTATGATCATTATTATTTGTATTAGTACTGTAGTAATAGTAGTAGAAGAAAATTTTCTAATCATCGCTTGGTTAAAATAATACCCTTGGTTAAATAATAATCGATATTATTGTTGCTGGTAGGTTCGGCATGGAGCAGCAACTGGTCTGAGAGAAATTATCAAGGTGCATGGAAAAGGTGCAGGAAAGGCTGTAGACACCCTTAGTCAAGATGTGAGTATTTAGGTTCAGGGTTAACATTAATTTTGATAGAATAAAATATCAAACCAGATAAAAACTAATTACTGTAGTATTAGATTGTGCAAAATCTTGTGTAACAATCATAGTTCTTGCTATTTTACTTTTCTTGGGTTCTTTATAACAGCAATAACAACAGTAATGACAACAATAAGGACAACAGCAACAGCAAAAATAGCAGCACTCACAGGCATAACAAGATAAATAATAGCTAATTATTTTGCCTTCTGAAATATTCATTTTCTCTTATCATTCCAATCTAAAGGCAGTTCCATAATTACTTCTCACCTTTCTTGTTAATTAGCTCCAAAACCAGAACATGAAATGGATGGAGAACATGGCTGTTCATCTTCTTTGTGTTCTTGCACTGGATCGTTTTGGAGACTTTGTCTCAGATGAGGTAAGTAGTTCATGGTATTCTGATGCAAAAATGAGTTACCAATAGCAATGATAGCTCTTCTCATGTTTTAAGGGCTAAAAATAATGTCTTGAGAATAGGCAATGTTCAGTCAAAATTTATGGCCAAACCCTCTTAGACTGGTCCATTTGACTGGTCACATTGATTGGTCTCTGCTACTGTAAGTGCAAAGTGGCTGGCCATCATGTCTAGCTATTGAGCAGACATTATTTTTGACCCTGTGTTTTATCAAAACATTTTTACAGGAAATTTTTTTTCTAAAACTGTTTTAGGTAGTGGCACCGGTGAGAGAAACTTGTGCACAAACTCTTGGTGTTGTGTTGAAGCACATGGATGTAGAGGACTGCAAGAGTGTCATGACGGCATTGTTGACACTTCAGGATCAGATTGAGTGGGAGGTCAGACATGGTGGACTGTTAGGAATCAAATATCTGTTAGCTGTAAGACAGGTACAGTAGACCTCTTTGTTAAATACTTGTTACTACTGTTTATTCTATCCATCCATCCATCCCTTCCATCTTTCCTTGCATCTGCTTGTCAGCCCACCCTTTCCTCCATTCATCCATCCCTGCAAAACTGTTTCTCTCATATCAGGATGCCTTCATTGTTTGTTGTTGTTGCTGTGTTCTTCCATCAGGATTTAACAACAGACCTCATACCACTGGCATTGCACCCAATCATGTATGCATTACAGGATGATGATGATGACGTCAGGGCCTTAGCTGCCTCAGCTTTACTTCCAGTCATTGAGGCTGTAGTCAAACTAGCACCTGATAAAGTAAGTCCAATCACTACTTGATTTTATACCATCAACTTTTGACAGAATGAATAAATGAATGAATGACAGTTTGACGGACTGGCCGACTGACCAACAGACCAATTATTGTTTAATTAGCTGACGAAACAACTGACTGAACAAATGAAGTAACAAACAAATGAAGGAAGAAGGGAAGGAAGGAAAGAAGGAGAAATGAAAAAAATGAATGAACGAATGAATAAACAAATAGATTAACCAATAAAGGAATGAATGACTCTCAGCTCATTCACCAACTGACTGATTTTTTTAGGTGCAAGAGCTTCTGATGATATTATGGGATACATTAATTGAGCTAGATGACTTGACAGCCTCCACCAATAGCATCATGTCGTTGCTTGCTGGCATGCTGGCTTGTCCATCTGTTAACATAGATCTTCTTGGGGCAGCAGGTTCACTTACTGAGCTTGTTCCTCGACTGTGGCCATTCTTGAGGCATACCATTAAATCTGTACGACTGGCTGCTTTGAGGACACTCAAGACATTGCTTGTGGGTTCAGCATCAAATAAGGTATTAAATGACCATTAATTAATAGATATTAAAAGGGAAAGTTTAGTTCGTAGATTGAAAGATTCATGGAGGAAGACTTTGTATGCGATTCTTAGGTTGAGGAAAAGACTGGTTTGAGTTGGTATTGCAGTGTATTGTGGGACTGTTTATGGGGATATATTTCCAAAACGGTGTCTATTTTATCTCCAAAACAGTCCAAGAATGCACTGCAATGATAATAATAACAATAATAATAATACTGATGATGATGATGATGATGATGATGATTTATGAAGATGATTTTTACAAATCGATTTCTTTTCATTACAGGATTCAGGAGTTGAGTGTACGTGGTTGACTCCCATCATGCAGGATGCTTTCAGGCACATTTTCCAGAGATTTATTCTTGAACCTGACCTCAAAATACTTGAGTTTAATTATGAGGTATGAAACTAACAAATAAACAAATATCCCTGCTGTAACGCTCATGTTTACTTGCAGTTCACTAAGGATCAATTTTATGGATTCTTAATAATCACTGTTGGGCTGATCTAAGTCAGGGCAAGGCTAACTTAGATAAATTTTAATTTAGCATGTTGGGGTTAACAGAGGGAGTTGAACAGGGGATCCCAGAAATATATATAGTCCTTAAATCAAGGGAAATAAAATAAACTTCACATTCACATATGATACCAAGTCAAGGACTGAAACTTTAAATCACCTCTTATCCCAATATAATACTGTAAAACAATTATAAGCATAGCTTATTAAGCTCTAAGTATTGGTGGCTTTCACAGCTGCCATGTTGGATGAATTTAACTAAAGATTTGTTGTTAGTCTCTTTTGTTACGTATATCCTCCAACATGGCCACCATGTCTTTTGTTATTTCATTCTCTTGGGAATGATTGAAAATCAGCAATATGTATTTCATGTAGGTTTGGTGTGAATTGCTGTGCAAGAGCTCCAAGAACTATCTTTCAGCCTCAGTGGTTCCATTCCTTAATAGCTGGATAGGTATCATGATGCTGCCTCCGTGTGTTCCTATAGAATCTTCCTTACTTCTCCAGGCATTACACAAGCCCCGTAACAAGGTACCACCAAGATACCTGAATATCATTTTATTGAACTCATAGAGTGGATTCTTTTTACAAAATATAATAATTATATGAAATCCTACATCTACACTTGCATCTACACTTTGTCTTCTAGCTTGATAAAAGCCAAGACAAAGGTGCAAGAGGGCGTGGTCAGCTTGTGGCTGAACCTACCTCAGAAATGATAGCAGGGGTGCCAATCAGTATGGAACAATCAGAAAGAGAGACTGCTGTGCTGAGAGCTAGATTGGCTGCTGCTAAGTAAGTGTCATTGATTTACTGTACAGTAGTTATTCCAAAAGGTTTGGTGATGGTTGTAAAGGAAATTGAGTGCACTTGTTAAAATGCACTGTCTTTTAAAAGCCTACCATTATTGTTGCTGTCATTATCACCATTATTTGCCATCATCATCAACATCATCATCATCACCATCAACACCACCACCATCATCATCACCCTCATCATCACCAACATCACCATCATCATCACCATCATCATCAACCACAACAACTATCATATTATCATCATGATCATATTTCTATCAACTGTTAAAGTGTATTGTAATTTCATTTATCTATTTAACAAAGATTTATAATACCTTCATCAGATGCCTAGGGCTGCTTGCATCATATTTGTCCAAGTATCCTGGAGGGATGATGCCGACGCCATTGGATTACCTCATGCAGACATTGGTTTTCCCTCTGATGTCTACTTCAGGGACTCAAAGAATGTGTGCTGCGTTGATCCTGGAAGAATGGTCACTTTGTCACCAGGTACAATATGGCTTGAAACCATTGCAGCATGTGAACGCATTTGTATCACGTCGTTACAGGGTCTGGTGCACACAAACTGTACGCAGAATGGATATGAATAATTATACTGGTGGCATGGTTGGCTGCTATGCCACTGTAGTATATGACTGGGTTCATAGGTTACATCCTCACCAACAGAACCATTAGAACCATATGTGTGTGTTAAGTTTGTTTGATGTGTAGTTCTCTCCCTTATTTTCTCTGGGTTCTCCGGTTTTCCGAAGGTTGTGTGTTGTAAGTAAAGAATGTAGTGGTAGTGTGTGTAGAGGGAACCTTGCAGAAGAGCCCCCTACGAGGAGTGATGGTTGTTAAATGTATAGTTTTTTAATGACTGTATATTTTATAGGTATAAGCCTGTTAACGATTTGTGATTCGTGATCGTTATCATTTATTTTATTTATTTTAACAATGTTTATAAAGGGATGTCTCATTTAGTAGAACTAGTTTAAAAAGTTGTTATCAGGTCATATATTGTAATCACTTGTCTATTTTGAGGTATAAACAGCTCAAGTGTACAACCACATTTCATAACTGTTACAATTCGTGATTGCTTTGTATTTAAGGGCTGCCAGTGTCCCCCAAACATAATACAACAGCTTAATACCATGTTATCTGAACAAATTGTATATGATGAGATTGCAGTGCTTAACACAAGATTACAGACTGACTGTCAGGTATGCCTTATATCATTATCTTACTGTAAACAACACCATCATCATCAATACCACCATCACCAACATTATTACTATCATTAGCAGCGCAGCACTTTAAAAATATTTTTCAGCATTATCACATTGTGCCATCACCATTGTCATCATCATCATCATTGTCATCATCATCACCTTCAATGTTATCATTATCGCCATTACCATTGTCATCATGACCATCATCATCTTCAATGTTATCATTATCACCATAACTATTGTATTCATCACCAACATCATTCCTATTCATCATCATCATTATCAATGTCATCATCATCATCATCATCATGATCTTATAAACATGTTGGGATTATCTTGACTTGTTTTTTTTTTATTGTTATAGAGTTTACTGATTGCTCTGAGAGACAAACATATTGATGCTCCTGCTGGATCACAACCAGGGTTAGTTTAATAACACTAGTTTTTTAGAATTTGTAAGTTTAATTTAATACATGTTAGTGAAAAATTCTATTAAATTGACCAAGCTCACAGCACTGATATTTCTCAATACTCTTGTATGTTACAAAGGCCTGATAGTATTTTGTAATCATCCTTTTTTCCCTCCATCTTAGCTGCTACACTGTAGATACAGCAACCCAGCTGGCTACAACATTATTCACAGAATTAACCAAGGCCTTGCCAGCAGCTGAAAGGAAGGTTAGTCTAAGATTTGAGTGAAAACTAGATGTGATAGATAATGCTTGGACATGTTTTCCACTCTTGGCAGGTTCATGATGCTTAGATCTTTTCTTGTAGGTTTTAGAAGCAAAGAGGCGGCACTTGATTGCAACAGTAAGCCAGATGCAATGTGAATACAATAAACTCCACATTAGGTAAAATGCTCTGATAAAATGTTATCTATATTGCAAGACAATATCATGGTACATTTTATATTAATCTTAATGTGTGGTTATTCTACAGGGTGCAGTGTAGTATTGCTTGTACTCTTATTGCACTGAAAGAGCTTCCTTCCAAATTAAACCCTGTTATAAGACCAGTGATGGATTCAATCAAGAAAGAAGAACAAACAATACTTCAGGTATGATATTCCAAAACCTGGTCCAAGGCTAGAGCAAGAACCATAAAGCATGCACACTAAAACAGAGAGAAGAGGGCTTAGAATGGAAAAATGTAGCAAATAAAGTGTATACATAAAGATTGAGGTCTGAACATTTATTGGGTATTAGCCAAAAATGTGTGTGTGTGTGTGTGGAGAGGGGGGGGGGCTATAGCCCCCCTGCCCCACCCTCTTTATGGTAGCTGTTTACTGACCAGTAATTTTTCATTTTGTTTCCACAGAAAAGAACGGCAGGAAGTCTGGCTTGTCTTCTTCAGCTGAGTATGCCAAGAGCACCCTGTCCAAACCCAAAGATCATTAAAAACATCTGTTCTTTTGCATGCTGCGATCCATCTGTTACACCAACTGTTAACCTGATATTAAGTATCGATGCAGAGGAAGCCCCACCCTCGCCGTCTGTGTCGGGGGCTACCCCTTCATTTAACAACTCTACTGGTTTAAATGTGAATGACAAAGGACCTGTTCTTCATTGTGATCAGTATAATGGTATTCTTACCTTAGTACAACAACACAAGGTAGGATGGGATTAATGTCATTTATTACATTTATTACTAGGGAGGAGAGGGAAGGGAAGTGGAGAGGAGAAAAAGATATTTTGTTCAATGCTAATCCTCTTAGTCTAGGACCTTTACTAAAATGTCTTGACTTATTTTAGAGGCAGCTTGGGTGCAAATTGGGAACAAAAGGTAGTTAGTAGTAAAGTGAAAAAAGTAAAACAAAGAAGAAATAATAATCAAACTGGTGTAAAGAAGGGGTAATTAAATCTGTAGAAAGTGGGCAGCATGTAAGGGGAGAGTCAAGAAAAATTTGAAATGGCATGTCTCCCCCCTCCCCAGATATCTTAAACAAGTTCAGTGCCACTGGTTGTTCTTATGTGCTGGTTTGATTCTAGAACGCTGCAGCTGCTGTGTCAAAGAAAGGAGGGCGTGGCAAGGTATCCACCTCTACTATTGACAATGCTGCTATGGCAAACACAGAAAGCACTAACCATGAGGATAATGAGGTAAAGACCTGTTGCTATGATAACAACACTGCCATTGTGACCTTAGGGTAAACAATATTATTTTAAACTATTTGTTTCGCAGTCTTCTAGAGTATTATCAACACAAAGACGAGGTGCAGAATTTGCTCTAATAAGGTTGGCAAAGCACTTTGGTGAATCAGTCCCTAGCAGTTTGCCTAAACTGTGGGAAACAATGGTTCAGCCTCTAGGGACTATGGTTAGCAACAAAGTATTAGGTGAGTGTAGAACAAGGTGATCTAAGTCAGGGCACAGCCAACTCACAGATCAAACCCTGAAACAACCTTTTGGCTGATCTTAGTCACTGACAGATCAAACCCTGAAATGACCTCTGTGCTGATCAAAGTCAGGGTATGGCTAACTCACAGATCAAACCCTGAAACAACCTCTGGGCTGATCAAAGTCAGGGCATGGCTAACTTAGAATTTAGCATGGGTTTTGCAGACAGAAGAAAACCAGGGTAACCAGAAAAAACTTAAATGAAGAGAGAGATCTAGCAAACTCTACTCTGATATATGATGATTTTAGGAATCCAATATCTTACACCCTAGAGGCCAGAGGTGAGTGCATCATCACTGACTACACCACTCTTGATTCCCTGCAGGGGCAGACAGCATTCTGTCCCAATACACTTGCAAAGATTCAAAGTGGTGTGAATCTTTACTCATATTATTATTTTGGGATATATGCTTTAACTTTTAGCTGATGAGAAAATCCATATAAATGAAAGTGATGCTCAAGTTTTGGTGAACTCACTACAAGTTCTAGAACTGCTTACTCCTCACATTGAGAAAACATTGTTGAATAAGGTATTATGTGTGTGTGTTTACTGCATATTGCTCTCAACATGATGATGATGATAATGATGATGATGATGTGTGGTGATGAGCATGAACATAATCATGGCTAATGGTGATGATGATGTTATGGCATGTTGATGGTGATGAGCATGGAGGTGATGTTGATGCATTATGATGATGATGAGCATGGATGTGGTGGTATTCATGATGATGGTGATGACAAGGAAAATGATGGTTGAAGGACAGTATAAATGATGAAAATGCTGATGATTAGAAGAATCAGAATGAAGACAAAAAACTACAACATGATGATTATAATGATGAAATTAATAACAGTGATAGTAGCAACTACAGCGATGATGGTGATGAGGGTGTTAGCAATGATGATCTTTGCGATTACATTAGATGTTATGCTAAAATAATACTCATTTGATAATTGTATATCTCACTGTTTTCACCCACAGATTGTTGAACTGCTTCCCAACCTCCTGCTGTGCCTGCAGCATCCATTTTGTGCAGTGCGTCACATGAGTGCCAGGTGTGTGGGTGTCCTGAGTACTGCTGCCACCCAGCAAACCTTGAAGACAGTCATAGAAGATGTCATTCCTCTCCTCGCTTCAGGGGATAGTGTGATCAAGAGACAAGGCGCTGTGGAATCTGTCAACCGTATCTTTTCATTATTAATCTTTTCTTCATGGCTTTTCTTCCCTATCTTTATATCGTAACTGTTATACAGGCATAGACAGAATGTTCATAATTGTCAAACGTCACAAACCACTATGGACATATCCTATGGGGTCACTCCCCCCCCCCCTCCCTCAAAAAAGTCTACCAACACTCCAGTTTTAAAGTTCTCTGTTGCTCAGGGTTAGCCACAACTTTGTGCAAAATATTCCTGTGTTCTAGAGAAGCTCCATGGAATTTCAAAGTGTTTGTTTGTCAAAGTTGCGCATTCTTTACTTTACCGTTGGCATTTATGAATATTTAGACAATTATTCAAGGCTAACCCTGAGTAAATGAGTCTGCGATGAAGGAACACACAGTGGTAACATGCAACTCGTAACTGGTCTATTGAAAGAGTCGCTGAAGGCACTCTAGGACCCCTGGGTATGCCCTTGAACTTGTTCAAACTTATTAAAAAACTACATCTTCTTAACTGGGGTTCAGATGTAATTGAGCATATGGGTATTAATATTGTTCCTTACGTTGTACTTCTGGTTGTTCCGGTATTGGGATGTATGAGTGATCAGTGTGAAGATGTTCGTCTCTTAGCAACACACTGTTTTGCTACCTTAATTCGGCTAATGCCTCTAGAGGTAGGTTCAACATGTAATAATGTTCCATTTGCACTCCCTATTTTGGGGAGCATATGATGTCATATAGTGGTCCATGTTGGTTGTGGTTTCTTTTGTCATGTCATCCAATATGGCTTCCATTCCTTTTGTCCTTTTATTCTCACGGAATAAAAGAAAAAGGTGCTCACCAATGGACTTCTTTGTCAATATGGCAACCATCTTAGATCACAAGACATTATGGGGCATTCAGGGGGCAAATAAAGCTTTGTTACAGTTTAATGTCATCGATTAAAATCAACAGCCCACCACAAAAACAAAAAAAAGAATGAAGAAGGCACATTGATCACCTTTACCCATCAAAGACAAAACACGAAACTCTATACAATATTGTTGTCTTTGTTTTGTTGGTAAGGCAGCTCAGTGCCGTATTGTCAAAGAAAAGCAAAGAAAATTACATTACTATCGTAGTCCTAATTGCTCATTCATATTCAGGCAGGCATACCTGACCCACCTCACATGTCAGCTGCTCTCATTGAGCAGAAACAGAAAGAGAGAGTCTTCCTTGAGCAGCTTCTTGATGCTAAGAAACTACAAAGCTACACAATCCCTGTACCAATTAAGGCTGAACTGAGGAAATACCAGCAGGTTAGTATCATCTTAGTCTCCCTCGTAGCCGTTTTTAGTCTCATTCCATTCCCCCACAGTGCACTTCTCTGGGGAGAGAAATGAACTGTAGGGGGATGTAGCAAGACTAAAAATGGCTGCGAGGGGACTAGTAATGATCATCTCTCCCATTCATTCCATTTCATCCATCCCATGCAATCCTATCCGGTCCCACCTGACCATCTCTTGATCATTATTTAAGTAGTTCCTATTCCATTCCTCCCTACCATTTTTCCCATTGATTTTGATTGATTGCATTCCATCTCTTTTGATCATACCCATTTGCTTCATCCATACACCTAAATCCTTTTCATGCTATTATGTTTCATTTAACTTTATATATCCCATTTTTGATATCATTTCCATTTCTTCTTGATAATTCCATCTCATCCCAGTTTGTAATTCGCTCAATTCTGTGTTGTTCAATTCCATCCTAGTAATCTTTATTTCCTTCAACAGGACGGGGTCAACTGGTTAGCCTTCTTAAACAAGTACAAACTACATGGAATATTGTGTGATGGTATCCTTTGAACATAATCTAGCATATAAAATATTATGCTGGTGCACAGAAATATATATTCCTTTGTCTAAGTTTGAAAGGCAAGGGGCATTCTGTTCTATGCATGAAGAACAACAGATATAATGGAGCTTTAGTTTTGAAGACGAGGACAAGGATGAAAATATATCATCAGACTTCTTATGGTCAATACTACTTGTCCTTGTTATCAAATCTAAAGCTCTCTGGTTACAGCTCAAGCTAAAATAGAATACACCCTGATCACTATCTCTGAAAAAAAAGAACTAAACACAGGGTGAACAATAACCCTCTACCTGGTCTGTTAGGTAGTAAGTGGTTTTCTCTTTAGTGTAGCTATAAGTTCTTAACTTGTTGTCTAGATATGGGTTTAGGGAAGACTTTACAGTCAATATGTATTATGGCAGGGAATCATCATAATCAACTACAAAAATTCAAGGTAAGATTAATTGGCAATGATGTTTCAAAATAGGGACCCAATTTGTTTGATTTARGTGATGGGTACTGACAAATACCCCCTCCCCCTTCAGATAACTGTTAGAATGCTTGATACTGGRCGTACGTAGTGACAATTTCTATGTTGCAGAAACATGTTGTTTAGCATACATGCAAACAGATAGTACAGATAGAACAGATAGTTTGGAGGTATTTGAGGACAAAATCCAGAGTTTCACTTCCACAGGCGAGTATAGGTAACTGGGTTACTGGGTATCCCACCTCTCCCTTTTGAATCGGATCTGTCAAGGACCTTGTCATGAAATCTGTTATGAATACAGTACTAAAGAAAGATGACGTCTGATAATAGAAGAATCTGATCTCCCCACCCCCACCCCCACTCACAATTTCATTTCTAACTACATTGCTCCATACCTGGACAACCCTTTGTTTAGTAATCCTGTTCTCATCTTATGGTATTTCGTTTTATCCTCTATTGATTGACAGGAGACAGCTAATCCAGACTGTAAACCACTCCCCTCTATCGTCATATGCCCTCCAACTTTGACTGGTCACTGGGTGTACGAAGTAGAAAAATTTGTCACTAAAGATTATTTAAAACCTTTACATTATACTGGATCTCCCATCGAGAGACAGAGGTAAGAGGG